ATCAAAAATATGAATATTTCTCGAGGAGTTTTGATTAGCTTGAGCAAACACATATGTGCAAAAGCGGAATTCTCATTACGCAAATGTTATAAATGTTAACCTATAAGCACAGGTCAGTGTGAGAAGGAGCTGATATTTGTTGTTTTATTACCAAAGCCATGTTGGTATTTTCTTGCTTGTTTTTATTTATCGTTTTAGGAGGGTAAAAAGTGCAGATGGGTTGTGTGGGAACTCTAAAGGATGTTAGAGTATACACAAACCAAACAGTATCTGTCACATCTCCTGCTGCCAAGCAGTAACCCTCTGCTTTCTGTGTCACTTCTAGTTTTGACACGGTGATGTGCCAAAAATCCATGTTACACAACTATGCACGCTGCCAGCATACCTGCAGGTGTAAACAATCCACCCTTTTATCTTCAGGGTGAACATTAAAGTACAGAAGAATAGGGGTGTGAAGTGACCCGATGCAACATTACCATAAAAAAAGCCCTCTTGGTTCTATGCTGAACCTCATGTTTTTTTTTTCTCACTTTGTTCAGCCTTGTTCATCAAACAATGGCCTACTAAGGGAAAAATAAATTTCAGCCCATTCTTTTTAGTTTTTATTGCACTGTTGCGATGGCCACATCCATCCCATGACATCATTTTCATAAAGTTACATTGATTCATTTGAATAATCAATTTAGAATAAAGTTCATTAATAACATATCCTACCTAGACAATACTTTCAACAATGACTACACCGTCTTTATAGCTCCTAGTTTGTTCTCATATAGATATTTAGGTATTCAGAATTACTGCTGGTGAAAACCCCTTCCTTGCTGTCTTGACCAACAGAAGCCATTATGTTACTGTTGCTGTATTAGATAGATAGATAGATAGATAGATAGATAGATAGATAGATAGATAGATAGATAGATAGATAGATAGATAGATAGATAGATAGATAGATAGATAGATAGATAGATAGATTTAAGCCAGTTTACTGACTGTTGACTGGAGGAAAAGTGGTATTTTTTAAAATCAAAAGTGGATGATAGGGAAATTTGCTCCTTACAGATCATGACTAACTATTACTGTGTAGGATAGGTATACATCAGAACTTTTTTGATTATCTTGCTTTCCTATAAGTTATAAAGTAGGACCAAGGAACCTGGTAAATGAGGATTCCAGGTGTTATCTAGTGCTACTGAGACATTAACTGTATGTAACCTTTCATCATAACCTCTCTTCAAAAATCCTGAAATACCCACATGAAGACACTGTGGATAATCAAAGAGATTCACAAGTCAGGTTCCGTGGCTACATGAAGTCTAGAAAGCAGTGGAACAAGAGAGAATTGTACAGGTTATGCTGTATGCACAAACAACCCCTAATGTCTTCACAGGGATAATGACTACCTGAGAGATGGCAAGGTTCATATGTGAGACACACATGCACGCAGACACAAAACATCATTTTCAATTTATTTTTTGTGCGAACAGGCCTCCCTCCCTTTTCCCATGTTTTCCTCACTTTCCTCCCTGCTCCCTCTGGCTCTCTATATCCCACATCTCTTCTCCCAATTTTCATGGCTTCAGGTACCAGATACAATTGTATTGATTAACAGATTCCCACTGATATAATGTTCCCTACAAAGTCAGTCTCTTGAATTTTGCCTATCCTTCCTCTTTTCTGTGTTTTACACTCTGTCTTCATCTGACTGTCTCTCACTGTTTCACAGTTAGCCGATTCTTTGACCCTGATCAGTCTTTTGGACAGAAAATAAGACAGAAAAAGGGGAAACAAAAGGGAAAGGGTGGTGACTGAAGCTAGACCGAAAACTGGCTGGAGGAATGAGTGATAGGGACAAGAAGAAATCGTGGAGTGAATACAAATGAAAAGTACTGTAAATAAAGACTGTGAGTTTAGATGGACTGAATGAGCAGAGGGAAAGGAAGTGGGGAAAGGGAGCGGTAGGTAGTGTAAAATATTGTTGAGGAGCAGAAGGAGAGAAAATATTGATTAGTGGGATGTGTATACGTGTTTGGCCTAAACAAATACAGTATCTAATCGACCGCTTTGAGTGACAGGTCCAAGGGGAATTTTGTGCATACCTTTTTGTGTGTCTGTGATAAAAGGCAAAAGTGACAAACAAGGATGATTAACACAAGAATGAAAAACACATGGGGACATAGACAGAGATAAAGAATTGTAACTAATAAATAAGGAAAAGGGATACAATTATAAAAAATTAAGCAGTCTGGCCAGGAAAGAGTTGACTGATGACTGATTGATTATGCTAACTTGAGAAGTGAAAGGGAGGTTGCTTGGATCTGTAAGTATTTGATTCAGCGGGCTTTGCAGACTGTACCGTAGAGGTCCAGGAGAATGTGAGTGAGATCCGATAGCGTTCGTACTTTCAAGAGATGCTCTGTAGAGCGGGTAGGCTTTCCAGCAAAGACTGAGAACCTCTTCACTTAGGTGAGACCTTTTCCATGAAGATTGGGGACAAACTGAGGTTCACTTGTAGTCTGGAACAATAATAGAGTCCAAGTTGAAGAGGACACAAGAGGACAAATTCAAGAAGAAAGATATTTCTGGTGGCTGGAAAACCATCAGGGGTAAACATCCGGCAAAGAGCGATGATCAGTCGCCATCTTATACCCATGCTAGTTATATTGATTGGGAAAATGTTCTCAGGTTTTCTGCAACACAGGGTTCGGCCCAGTCACCAGTAAAGATCTTCTCTGCAACAGAAAGCTCACTCTCACCAGAAAAAACAGCAAGAACCCAGAGATCCTGACAGAAAGATGTCACATCAATGAATAAGACAATTACAAAAATAAATAAGGTAGCCAGAGATTATGCTACAGAAATGTGTCTGGATTCGTGAAGATATTTCTCGCTGAAACAAGCTCTGAGCCATTACCTGTTAGGCTTGTCAGTGTCTCTCTCATGTGGCGTTTCTTTTTCCCTCGCTCATCTAGTGGGAGCTATACCATAAAAGTTAGTCATTTTAGAAATGTCAGCAGTATACAGTATACTTCTTTCTCCTGTATTGTGCCCCATACCTTTTATCAGAAGGATTCAATTGAGGGACAACTAAAGGAAAACTATATTATGATTAAATAGTCTTTAAAAAAAATATTACTGTGATGTTTGCTGTGTGTTCCAGAGTGGGAAACTTCTGCTAAGTAAATAATGAGAGCATGTAGATTGAGATCTTAGACAATGTGAAAAGCAAAGAGTGGGAGTAAGAGATTAATGTTTTATTTGAGTTATAATCATAAATGAATAATTTTCTTAAAATGCAAATGTGCAGATTTCGCTGATTTCTCTCACTCTGAAAATGTTTCTCTCCAGTGCAAAAAAGCTCTTCTGGGTTTTAGAATGCATTGTCAGAAATGTAGTTTTGTAAAAAACAAAATGGCATGGATTTCCCTGCTAGAGTTTTGGAGATAAACACTTATTTATATAGAAGAGAAGGTATAGAACAGGCCATGCTTAATAAGGATTTGTGATGGGCAAAATTATTTATACCTCTTAAACATTTTCCCATTTTTTCATTTAAAGTCACAAATTTCACTGTCTTTTTTTAGATTGTATGTGATAGAACTTAAAAAAAAAAAAGTTAAATTTCAAGGGGAAGGAAAATAATGTGTTATCAAATTTTTCTGTAAAAATCTTTGCCGGCTTAAACTATAATATCCTGAAACCGTTTTTTTTTTCCACCTTAACCTGTTTCTTCTTATGGGTCTCTTTTCTCTTTTTTGTTCTCACACTTTAAATCTGACCGCCCCCTCTATCTTTATTCAGAAATTGAAGCACTTAAGTATAATGTTGTCATTACATCCATTACAATGGGGTACGTTAGACTGACTCAAGAAACATTCAGAATCAAATATCTTTATTGTAATTTTAAAATCACAATAAAACCTCAGCAGTGTGCACGGTAGTATGTGAAGCTAGTGCCTATCCAGTCCAAAATGAGCAGATGATCTGTTTGACTATCAACAAGTGTTTTTATGTGATACTGTGTGTGCATGTGTGTTTTGTGGACTTGTTTTTGTTTCCTTGTGGGGACAGTGTAAGGCCAATTATTTGTTAAATATGCTACAGTGTGGGGATTTAGAGGTACTTGTGAGGACCACTCAATTTTTCCCCATGAGAAAACATTCTCTCTTTGGTTTGAGTTAGGTTTACATCTAAGGTGTGAATTCAGTTTTAGCCAGGGTTGAGTAAGTATATGTTGATAATGGTTAGGGTTTGGGTTAGGTCTGGATTAGGCCATACGAATGAATGGATGATAATAAAGATTAATCATAAAATATGGAAACACAACTGTGTGCGTGCTTCTGTCTGGGCGTCAGAGTGAGGACCATCTTTCCGATTTCACCATCAAATTGAGGACCAGTTGTTGCAAAGTGAGGACATTTTCTCTGGTGTTTGTATATATATGGGTGTATTTATGTTCACATTTGTGTCTTGATGCATCAGTTTGAGAATTATGGTGTCCTTAACGATCTTAATTGTTCATGTTTATGCAGAACAATAACTACTTGTGCCCCATCTTTGTCTACTGGTAAATTCCTCTCCCTCCTTTACTCTATCAGTCTTTTTCTATATTTCCTTATCTTGTTGCGTCTCACCCTGCAGCCTAAATAGCAACAATTTCATCCTCTCCCTGACTTGCCTTCTTTCAGTCCCCCAATTATTTGTTCCCCTCTGCTTCCATTATTCCTTATCAGTTTTTTTCTCCCTAGCCAATGTTTATAATATTTTTTTTTTCATGATTACATTAAGAGTTTGGTCAGGATGCAACCTCTCATCAGTTTTTTTTCCTCTTAAAGATATCTTTGTTACTGTATCTTTCTGCTTCCTTTTTTGGACATCTGTTTTCTCTGATATGAGGTCCGTTGTAAAGCCAGTGATGGAGAAAAAAAAGGACATTAAAATTTTCTTCTTTTGAATTTTCCCCTGTTTATCACATTCCTCTCTTTTCTTTCCTCTGTTTTCAGGCACCCTCCCTAAGTGCATTACATATCCGCCTCCCCCCCTCGGCAGGTTGCCATGGTCGCCATACCTACTCTCTCTCTCCTATTGGTCCTGGCAGAGTGGGCAGGTCTGGTGGACGCATCCCCCCACCTCCTGCTCCGGCCAAGCCCACGGGAACGTGATGCAGGGGCCATGATGAACTTCAACATTGCCGTGATCCACGCCGGTGCCACAGTGCAGGCGGAAGCGGCGGTTGCAGGGCCTGGGGGAAGGGTGCTCTACCCTGGCTTCGGACGGGTCTACGGCTCCCTCGGGGAGAGCGTGGTCACCCAGTGGGGCTCTGCCAACGTCATCTGGCTTCAGGTTAGACACTGTGTCCTCTGCTCACTCAGCCTAACTTGAAGGTGGAGAATAACAATCCATTATTCATACTTATTGAGCTGAATGAGCAGCACATTGCTGTTGTATAAGCCTCGCTGAATAAGCAGGTGTCAGCCTTTATCCTGACTGTATCTTGTATTGTAAATGAAGTATGTCATACATACTACAGATACCTTCAACATAAATGGCACACTGTCAACACTCCCTGTGCTAGATGGCCAACACTATATGTTTCCTCTTTACTGTTCTTTATCCATCCCTTCATTTTTCAGGTGAATGACAGCAGCCCTAAAACGGTGCTGTCCCAGCTGTGTGATCTGTTAGCGGCGAGGCCCCTGCAGGGTCTGGTCTATGAAGAGGAGAGGCCCCCTCCTACAGCTTGGGGTCCCTTGGCCCCTATGCTGGAGTTTGTGTCTGCACAAACAGGACTGCCTATAGTGGCTGTAGGCGGGGGAGCAGGACTGGGGAGGATGCCACAGGTAGGAGGAGGGTGGTTGGTAATGAGTTGGCGAAGTTCCAAGGAAAAAATGTTTTTGTCAGTCTGGAATAAAACAGACACACATTTTTCAACTGTAGTATTTGCATTTAAATCTTCCAGCTAGCAAATTTAGGTGTAAAAAGTGCTCTGATCCTAGTTGTTGTAGCAGGGTGAGTTTGAATCTTTTTTTAGTGTTTTGTCCCCAATTCCTCAAGTTTAAATGTAATTATAGAGGTGTAACTCAGGGGAGCTCCAGTTTTATAAAGGCAGATTTATAGTATGAGTTTATTTTAAATTCTTTAATAGCTTCCGGGCAACAAATTTGTGTTTTTTTTTTTGTTTGTTTTTTTTTTAAAAAGACAAAAATAAAAAATACTTTTTATTTCATAATTAATTATTGTACATTCCACTTTGGGCAGTCATCAATACTTTTGACTGAGGGGGTACTCATGGTAAGACAAAAAGTCCCATAGGGGTACATAAGTAAAAAAGTGTTGGGAACCACTGTTTTAAAAAGATGACTGAATCTAAGTTCAAAATCCTGGTTGCACCGGGGAAAGCCTTCTGTGTAAAAACTCTGCCAGGTCTGTGCATAGTTTGTAATGCTGTGGTTTGGCGATCCACGAAGTATGAGATCCACTAATTGGTCTCCCACAGTCTGACTTCTTGAAACACTGGGTCTGATCCACAAAATTTGTGTTGCATCTGGTATTGCAATATATTCTAAAAGTAAAAGTTTACTTTATACTTCTACTTTTCTCAGTCCAGGACTCTCATTACTAAGACATACCAGCAAACAATTTACACCTATTTGTTGTTTTTTTTTAGATGAATTAATACAAAATAAGGCATATTAGTTGTTAGTTTTTTTTTCCTAAAAAGTAAAACATCTGTCAAAGGTTTGTATTGAAGCACTTTTTGCTCTGATACACTAAACAGAATGTTAATTCAGAGGTAATTAATCAATCTCTTTTCAAATTAGGATTATCCTTATATTAGGCTATACTGAGAAAGTACCTTATTAGAGAACTTTGGGAAAATACACTGCTCAAAACATTAAGGGAAGTTGTAAACAACGCAATATAACTTCTAACAAATCAAACTTCTGTGAAATCAAACTGTCCACTAAGGACGCAACACCAATTAACAATCAATTCTAGCTGTAGCAAGAAAGTTTGCTGTGTCGTTGCCAGTACACCAGGAGACGTAGAGCAGGCAGTAGGAGGGAAACAAAACAGTAGCAGGACCACTACCTCTGCCTTTGTGCAAGGAGGACCAGGAGGAGCTCTTCCAGAGCCCTGCAAAACAACCTCCAGGAGGCTACAAATGTGGGATTGGCAAATTTGCCACTGGCACCCTGTGTTCATCACAGATGAAAGCAGGTTGACACTGAGCACATGTGACAGACAGAACAGAGTCTGGAGACACCGTGGAGAGCAATCTGCTACCTGCAACATCCTTCAGCATGAACGGCTTGGCAGTGGGTCAGTAATGGTGTTTGGTGGCATTTCTTTGTAGTGCCACAAAGCCCCCCATGTTCTTGCAAGAGGTAGCATGACTGCCATTAGGTACTGAGATGAGTTCCTTAGACCCCCTCTTAGTCCATATACTGGTACTGTTGACCCTCGGTTCCTCCTAACGCAGGACAATGCTATACTTCATGTGTCCGGAGTGTGTCAGCAGTTACTGCAAGACGACAGCATTGATTTTATGGACTGGCCCAACATCCACCAATGCCAAGTTGCACCACAGACTGTCCAGGAGTTGGTGGATGCTTTAGTCCAGCTTTGGGAGGAGATCCACAATCCACCACCTTGTTAGGATCATGCCCAGGCATTGTAGCGAGGTCATGTAGGCATCTGGAAGCCAAAAACAATATATAGCCTCACCTTGACATGTTTTAGGGACATTAGATCAAAATTGGATCCGCTTGTAGTATGCTTTCCACTTAAATTTTGTGTGTGACATTGGTTGTTGCATTTGATTTCCGTTTTTGATTTTTGTGTGATTTTGTTTTCAGCACATTCAATTTTGTACAAAACAAAGTAATCACCAAGAATATTTCATTCATTCACATCTGTAACGTTTTATTTGAGTGTTTCCTTTATTTTTTGAGCAGAAAATAAAGGAACACAAAGGTAGGTCATAGAGAAAGCCATAGACTCAAAGTTATGGTTAGGGTAAAAATAATATTTCAAACTTTAAACATACAACAAATCGTTAATTTCACTTTGGGATTAATAAAGTGTCTTTTAATTAAAAAGCAAAGAAAAAAAAACAAAACAAACAAACAAAAAAAAGACTAGGAATGTTGACATTTATAAGGCTAGGAAGATTTTCCAATCCTCTTCTGCTTTTTCAATATCTGTTTAATCAAATAAATAACACACATTATATAATGTTGCTTAAATGTGGGAGCATATTTTATATGAGGTTAATTTTAAATATGGACAAACAACGCAAGCACAGGTGGCTCCAATTAACTTTACAATAAAGTTTGGATTTTAAGGATAAACTAACTGGTTAGTGTCTACTTTGCAAACACAAACAGCCGAATGAAAGAAGCATAAGAAAAGAACAGCTTATGTTGCTACAACAGTTAGCAAAGTAATCATATTTTGTACACCATATGTGAAGAATGACTTCCAATAGGACAGAGGGGGATGCTGTAGGTCACTGCCAACCACTGATCTGCAGAAACGCTCCTGTGTTTGATCTTTAAATGGTACCAAATGGGGCTGTCACACTTCCTCTGATGTTCCAGGTTGGGAGGCAATGAGCAGATATGAAGGTGTATATGAATGGACAAGGATGCTGTGTATACTTGTACATGTTCGGGGATGTATTTATATGTATACCAGAGAAAATGCATACTTTATTGCATTACCAAACGCGAGAGAAGAGGAAACAAAAAGCTTCCTATTCGTACTTTTAGAATAACCATTTACTCTTGAGGAATTAAGTTGTAGCACTTTCATAAACTTCCTTTGAAGTTATACTCCAGCATCTCTCTCATCCCCTCCCACCCTGAGCAGACTTTAGAAACACTCCCTTCTGAACGTCAGAAGAAATTTAACTCAACGGGCTGGGCTTTTTTAGCCCCACGGCTGCACAAGTGTTGCTGCTGCATTAAAACTTTAAGCCTCATGATGCCTGTGATTAATTGTGCAAAAAGACAGAGCAGCTCAGAGCATTGTATTTCCTTGTAGTTAACATGTTTTTAATTTCTCAGCTCTGACACAGAGAATACATTTTGCATTGACATATTTAACCACATATGCTGCTCTCCTCCCAAAATCAGGAATCAGGTTCCATCTTTCTCCAGTTCAGTTCCTCCACTGCGCTACAGTTAGAGGTCATCTTCGAGGTACTGGAGGAGTACGACTGGACCGCCTTTTCTGTGGTGTCCACTCGCCACCATGGTTACCAGGACTTCTTGTCCGTGGTGGAGGGCCTTACGGATGGCTCGTTCATCGGCTGGGAGAAGAAGAGTGTTGTGATCCTGAACGTGACCGATGACCCAGGGGGGGCACGCACTCGCAGGCTGCTGAAGGAGAACGAGGCGCAGGTGAGACAGGGGGGAGGGAGGAGAAATAGAGGGAGGAAAGGGGAGGAAGTGCTGCCACAATCATTGGGGCCCCCTTTCGGACAGGTGGCTTTCCAGCTTTTTCCTTCCTTCTTCGTCTCTCCCTCTGCCTCTCCATCTCTCTCTCTCCCCTCTCTCCTCTATCCCTCTGTTCTTCTATATCCATCCCCCATGACACTAAGGATTCAACAGAACAATCAAACCATGAGTCACTCGCACATCCCCAGGTTCCCCTTGTTTGCTATCAAGTTAGTTTTAGAGATAATGAAAAAATATATCCTTAGTCGTATATCATTATCTTGCAAACTGGTCACTTTTCATTTCCTGAAGATACAGATAAAGAAAGATGAATGAAAGTAATATAGGATACTCTCTCTAATGTTAACAAAGCTCATACATTCTGAGGTATTTTTTTTCAATGCTTTTTTTGTAGGAGACCTAATGCTCCATAGGGACATGGATAAAATGTTTTATTCTAACATCTGACCTGATATGATGTGACTCACTTACTGTTTCAGGTTTGAAGAGACACTAACATGTTTCCCAGATATGATTTGGTCTTCCAGATATCTCCAAAGATAACAAAAAAACAACAAAAAAGCAAACAAACACCAAAAAAGTTCCTCTAGAACAGTTGATTATTATTTATTTCATGGTCATCCTTGTGTTCTTCCACTGTATCTAGGATTAGGTTGAGGGTACGGCAGTCTTACCAGAGACTCTTAGAATTCCTTCTCCCTGCACACCTCCTGCTAGCGGGTTGAGGTGTGACGCAACGAGAAGCGCGACAGTTCAGTCTAAAGAACATGCCGGCTTCAGCCGATGAAACTAGTGTTAGCGTGGCTATCGAGCAAGTTTTATCGGAATTACAGAGTATTTCTTCACTGAAAGAAGAGCAAAACACTGCTCTGGAGGCTTTTCTCAGAGGAAAAGATGTTTTTACTCTTCTCCCGACTGGCTTCGGCAAAAGTAGCCTGGCTGTTAGTACGTCATATGCTTCGTTGATCTGATTTATTTGGCCCATCAATCACCAACATAGGCCAATCAGCAAACCAGTATTTTCGCCCCTTCCCAAAATTACTTCAACGGAAGCTTTCCAGATGGATATGCGGAGCAAATCCATCTGGCGGAGTCAGGTTAACCTCCTGCAGCTCTGCTGGGGGAAAGCCTGAGACATTCATATAAAAAGTCCCTCCAGCGTGTTCTGGTGGTCCCCTTGGCCCCTCCTGGTGGGATATGCCTGGAAACACTACCAATGGAGGCATAAGAGGGCTCCCGAAAAAGATGTCCAAGCCTCTGCAGACCTTTTGATGTGAAGGGGAAGCGGCTCTACTCTGAGCCTCTCCTGAGTTCCTCCTCCTATCTCAGGAGTAACCAGGCACCCTGCGGAAATAGCTTGTTTTAGCCACTTGTATCCACGGTCTTGTTCTTTCAGCTACAATGGAGATTTCATGACCATAGATCAGGTTAGAAACGTAGAACAACTGATACAACAAGAGCTTTGCTTTTTCGCTCAACTCTCTCTTCACCACAACAGACCGGTGCCGAGTCCACCTCATAGCAGCAGCAGCACTGATCCGCATATCAATCTTCTACTCCATTCTCCTTCCTTTTTGATTTTTCACTTTTTAATGTTAACAGCGGCTGTAAAGAGATTCCCTGCACACATTCCAGTATACTGAAACAATTATTTATTTATGTTTTGGACATTTATTTGAAGGAACAGATGTACCTATCATTGCTTTGCAGTCCATTCCTTATCTCAGAATCTTTCATACAATTGGCCATCTGATTCCAAGTTTTTCTTCAAGAATAAGAAATTCATTGTTATAGTGAACCAAATGAACATTCTGAACTGAATTTACTGTCTAATGTAAAAAAAAAAAACAAGGTCTAGACATTATTCATACCCGTCGGTTTTTATGCAGTCTGAAACCATGGATTTGCCAGATTATATTTGTCTTTATATTTTGTATTTCCTGGTCTCTTCCCAAACAGAACTGTAATCTAATTGGTCCTACTTCCCAAAAAAGTTGCTCTCATATATAAATAAAGTGCAAATAAGCCTTTATATGTACATTTAAGTGCAATTGAGGTCAAGGGAGGAGGTTTAGGCAATATAATGGGTTTCGGATTTGATGAACATCATGATTGTGTTCAAACACTTTAGCTGTCAAAATAGTTATTAAGGTAAATTAAAGATGGCAGCACATTTTCTCAGCTATACTTCCCTGTATGATGGAGAACAATTTTAGAAATAATAGTCTCCGTTAGACGACAGGTGTATTCTTCTGCTCCTCCCTGCTGTACCAACAAACCCACAGCTGCACTTCTTCCCTTCCAGCAGCAGGATGACTTTGATTATTATTAATAAAGCATTATTTGTCGGTAGGTGCTTCAAACAGAGGCAAATACATTATACATACATAAAGAAGAACCTGATCCATACTTTAACATACAGTAGCAGCCATTCAAAAGTAACCTGACTCCGCCAGATGGATTTGCTGGATTTGCTCCGCATATCCATCTGGAAACCATCCGTTGAAGTAATTTGGGGAAGTGGCGAAAATACTGGTTAGCTGATTGGCCTATGTTGGTGATAGACGGGCCAAATAAACCAATCAGATCAACGAAGCATATAACGTACTAACAGAGCAACGATGAAAACACAACCACAAGCCAGTCAGCAGAAGAGCAAAAACATCTTTTCCTCTGAGAAAAGCCTCCAGAGCAGTGTTTTGCTCTTCTTTCAGTGAAGAAATACTCTGTAATTCCGATAAAACTTGCTCGATAGCCACACTAACGCTAGTTTCATCGGCTGAAGCCGCCATGTTCTTTAGACTGAACTGTCGCGCTTCTCGTTGCGTCACACCTCAACCCTCCTCAAAGCCATAGGTGATTGGACGTTCGTTTGGTGAACGGCTCCAAATTTTCTTCAACGGGGTGTAGCCAGACTGTTCTGCGAGTGAAACCTTGAAAGCTCGCGAGATCAGGATGGTCTCACGAGGCTAATTCAAAAGGGCCCTTCCCAGTCAAAAGCCAGCTAAATGGCAGCCCACCTCCCTCCAAATTCAGTCCCTTCCAGCTTCCAGCCACTGGAGTGACCCCACCCCCCGCGCGATCTTAATGTCCACAAATCAAGACAGAAAGAAATCATGACAGTAGAATGGCTACTACTGTACAGCAATCATCAAATTAACCTCTGAGGCAAAGTAGAATGTTCTCGCCTCAAATTATCTTAAAATTTACTTTTATTGAGCAACAGCAACATAAAAGAATACTTTAACTTAATACTCTGAGCTCTGTGAGCGTTGAATTGAAAGCTGCTGCTTCCGCAGTGCATGCTGGGACAGCTGTGAATCTGAAAAATGGACAAGTCTGCTCTGATGCATACTCAATAAGTAGGGAGGGGCGAGAACAGCATCCGGGGACTTTGTCCATTCTCGGTCTGCTGTTCTTGTGAATTGGAACATTATTAGGGCTGAGGCTGATGACGTTTCATGAGTACACAAGCACATAAGAACACACAAGTACTAGGGCTGAACAATTAATCGCATTTTCAATATAATCGCGATTGAAAAAAATGCAACTTCCAAATCGCGGATGTCTGCAATTTTTGGCTATGTAACAATTAGTGAATCAGACGCGTTCTTTAGGTGTCAGTAAAATGTTTAAAGTGGATTTGCCTCCACATGGAAGGGAAGACAGTTGCAGCAGTGAGGTAATCTAATTTTATTACTTGTTTTAGAGTTTATATATTCATACATAGCACTAAGTACCAGTTAATCAGTTTAATACATAGACTGGTTTGTTGGTTGCACTTTGGACTTCATGTTCAACAAGGACTGATGTCCAAATCAGTTAAAAGCTGTTCTCTTGAATAATATTCTCACTGCAAAAACAATCCAGAAATAAGTAAAAAATGGCTTAAATTAAGTATATTTAGCCTTAATTTGAGTAGATAAATAAGATGATTTGCCAATGGAATGAGTATTTTTACTCTTAAAATAAGATAGTTAGATAATATTTACTTGAAATAAGAGGATAAAATAGTTTTTTCTTATTTTAAAAGGAAATTGTCTTGTTCCATTGGCAAAGTGTCTTACTTACCTCCTCAAATCAAGGAAAAACACACTTATTTTAAGAAAAAATAACTTATTGAGATTTCTATTTTTTGCAGTGTAATAAAAACATTAAAAGTTCTTGATTTAAATAGTCCTTGTTTACAATTGTCTTTATTTAGAGGCTATTTTTGTTGCTTGTGGTTATGTAGAGAAAAGTCAAAATTAAATTGCAATTTTGGTTGAAATATATCGTAGGCAGAACGCGATCATTAATTAGGACACAGCGTGTCTTTTAGCACCTAATCTGCACAGCGATGAAACAGATTGATTTGTTGTTTGTATATGTTTAAAAAAAGACATGACCAATTAAACTGGGGAAAAATGCATTAAATCGCAAAATAAAGAAAAAAAATTGCAATTACATTATTTTCCAAAATCGTTCAGCCCTAACAAGTACACATATTGAGAAATGGCCATGGCTTGAGAGAGAGCTCAAGCTAACATATCTCAACAGAGGATGTGGTCTTAGACACAACCTATCACCTGCTTAAAGAGCACTTTTAGGAACAACACCCAGAAGATTCACCTCTCACCTGCCCTTATCTGATTCCCACTGCAAAGAAGCATGTGTTCAAAATCACGACCAACCAGAACTCCCTAATGACCCCATGTGACCTCTTTGGCCAATCCAGTAATGAACCAAGTGGGAAAAAAATACCTCAGTTTGTTTGCAGTTACTTAGTTGATTTAGCTTCCAAATTTAATATAGCTTTTTTTAATCAACGTTCATACAATTATGGTAGATTTGAGCCCAAACGATCCATATAGGTTAATGATTGATAAAATTTGGTTAGAATTAAATGAGGGGCTTTGGTTTTTACTTAAAATTCTCAAACTCCTTTCAGCTATGTCCTTGCATGTTTACCTCTTCCTTACTTCTTACCAATTTTTAAGGTACAGTTTTGCAATTTCCTTTCAAAATGTTTATGGTGTTCAGAATTTCAGTTACATTGTCTGTTTCGGTGTCTTTCTTCCTGGAGACTCCAACCCTTCCACCTTACCATGTCTCAACTGCTCCCCTTCCTGCATTTCTCTGCCTAGAGACAAGCCTCAGGAACCTCAGCTGCTTTGCTTTACACCTTTATCGCAGCATGGCCATCTTTCATTCTTCCAGTCCACTCATTCACTGCACACACTCCGCATGTCTTCCCTGCGACAGGCTCTGCTCTCTGTTTGCCTGCTTTAGTCTGGGTCTCAATGTCAACGCTAATGTCCCAGCATGACTACCGCAGCGCTGCTTGTCATTGTGTTTGTGTGTGCACGTGTATTGGATTTTGAAGCCTCCACTGTGGCAGATCGTTGTTTAAATGACATAAAGCCTGCAGTGATTTGACCATACAAAGATCTAATTATGAAACTTACTTGCTTTTGAAGCCGCCCTCCTCCCACAGGGCATACAAATACTTGTGATACAGTAGTGATGCTGCATATTTGATTATCTCATACTAAAGCTTTCTGGGCTGCATTTTCTAGATTGTAGATGACCTGATGCAGGTCTTTTTGTACTCAACTCCTTCACTCTCTGTGTTCCATTTCTTTTCCAGTGTCTGCTTGTTTGTATTTCTTCTGTTTTTCTCTCTGTCTCTTTTTCCATTTCCCATCTTTCAGTAGTGCGTGTGTCTGTTTATAAGTCTGATTCCCTCTTACATTCCTCCCTCCAGTCTCTTCTCTCTTCTGGTCTCTCCCCATCTTTCTTCCTCCTCCCTCCTCCCACTCTGTCACTCTCGGTCCATGCCTAATTCACTGGAGGTTTATTGGCACACAGGCTGAATTGTTTTGCCAAGGCATTATAGTTCAAAATTCATTGAAGGTACAATTCTCAGAAATTGCTTTCCATCTTTATCCTTTCTTTCCAGTGCTTAAAATAGTTGTCTTTCTCTTTTTGTCCTTCCATCCTCCTTTGTACTTTTCTATCACTCCTTATTTTTGTTAAGTTCCTCCCTTTGTCCTTTTGTGTATTCCATGGCATAATGCAGAGATTATGACTCAAGCCTCAGCTTAAAGGGAATGTACATGAGGAGGAAACAGATATCCCTATCTTATATGAAAAAAAATATATAAGAACAAAAAAAAAACCCCAGTGGTGTTGCTGTAACAAGCAAGGAACCATATATTTCCTTGTCAAACATGCTTTTTCACCAAAGTTAATGTTTTTGAATCCACAAATGTGGTTTGTTCCTGCACATTTCATCAAGCTGCTTCCAAATGTTTAAAATGCCTCAACTGTTAAATATGAACTGGCAGTTCTGTGCATTACTCCTTTTATTTAATCCCACCTAAATGGGAAAAAAACAAAGACTTGAAATGTGACTTGACTAGAACTTGAAGGAGTTGGTAATCGGTATGGTCTAGAACTCGAATCTCATGATAAGTCAGACTGCAGGTTTTGCAGGTGCTACGCATATTTTTCCTGTATAAATTTTTTTGCAATGGGCTGTTATTTGCTTTTAATAATGTTCTGCTCTTAACTGTAGCTCCTTTATAACGAAAACAGAGATAACTCTCATAATTAACAAAAATAATGATAGAATAAACTGTGACATATAAGAACAAACTTACAAATAAGCTGAATTTCTTACCTATTCTGTCATTTTTAGACACATTTGATTACAAAAAATGTTCTTTACAGTAAAAGCATATCATGCTAATCATTCAGAAATACTGTATATGTTTACTGTTTAGTTTTTATACACATAAATTAAATTGCATATTCATATCAGAAAAATACTCAGACTTGGAATGAAAAGGAAAACTTATAGATCCTGTCTTTTGCACTGCATAAATAAAGGAGTGAACAACAAAACAGAAGGATACACAGCTGTTGACTCTGACAGCACAGAAACTAAATACTTCCTAAAGTCAGTCAGAGTTTCAGAGTAGCACAGAGGCACACAACCACTAACCGAGCATTCATGTCTGTGTCATATATGTTTGGTTATCTAACAACAACTTTTTAGCTGTCTTTGCTTAAGGGGAGCTCATACTGTCTTAAAGCGGTGCTCTAGGTCACATAAACCATTCAATGATGGATCCGACCCTCTGAAGTTACAAGGGTGAGTTTTTGAGAAGGGAAGCCTGCATAGAGCATGGGTACACTACAGGTGCTAAAAATTATGCTGGAAAATCCTTCAATATATGTCTGATTAAGCTAATCCTGGGGTCAAAACTTATCGAACCCTACTTCAAGCACCTATGTGTTAAACTAGGATATGTATCTTTAGTTATAAACAGCAATGCAGTATTATAACCAAACAATATCCAATGCATCTAAATGTAATTTGATATATTTTTCCTTGTAGTAGAGACTAGTCTCTTAATATTTTTTCTCATTTTACCTCTAGAACCCAACCATTCTCCCTCCTCTCTTAAAACTACTTTCTATATCTCCAGGTGCCAAATTCACAAAATATGCATTCCTTTGCTTTTCTTCACTACCCATATTTCCCCCTTCCCTATCTCTAAGGAATGGTATTCTCATCTCTGATTTCTTCCCTCACTCTCTTCATTTTGCTCCTCTTGCTTCTGTTATTCCCAGATCTCTCTTCCAATATGCTTTTAAAAACATATTTTACAGTTTAACCTCTCCGCCTTCATCTTCCCCGCCCTTGTTATTAGCCATTTCCCTGTCTCTCTCTTCTCCTTTTGCTTAATATTTCTTTGCTCTACCACTTGTTTCATTTTCTCTTTCCTGTTATGATCCCATTTTCATTATTCATTACAGTAACTTGTTTCATCAAGTCTAAGCTCATTAAGCCCTGACCTCCATTGCCTCTTATACCTTCAGGTTAGCAAACACAGCTACACAGTCAAAATTACTTGTGTGTTTGCTTTTCATTTGAAGTCATTCACTCGACTTCCATAAACCTTATCACAGACTTACTGCTATCTCTCCCTATACCTTCTGCAGCATTCTTGTTATTGGTTGTTATGGCTTTTTCTATTCATCTTCATCCTCTCCTGCTGAGATGCACCTCCTTTCCACTTCTTGATTTGTGTCCTTGCTTTTCCCATCCTCTGTCTTGCTCCCCTTTCCCCTCCTTATCTCACTGGAGTGTATGTGTGTGTGTGTGTCTTTCCCCATTCCCTCCTGGCCTCCCTTCTCTCCTTCAGGTGCGTCTACTGTACTGCTCTCAGGAGGAGGCCGAGCTGGTCTTCCGTGCTGCCTGGGCCGCTGGTCAGGCTGGGGCCTCTCATATGTGGTTCGCAGTAGGCTCTGCACTCTCAGGTTTGGGCATGGAGAGCCTGCCTCGGGCATTATTCGCAGTACGGCCCCAGGGCTGGAGGGACGAGCCTCGCCGAAGGATCGCTCGGGGTGTGTCTGTGCTCACTCATGGGGCAGTGGCAATGCGGAAGGAATATGGAAGCACCGGCGGGCCAAACTTTGTCACTACTTGCATGACAGATGCAAATCAGACACAGAGACTGCGAAGCAGGATGAGGTAAGAGAGAAAGTTTTAAATACACTGTATATTATAATCTCAGAGATTTCTGCACCCAGAACTTTTCCACATTTTATCAAGTTGAAATAGCAAAAAACAATGCATTTCATAGACCGGGGTCTTTAGCACCAGTCCTCAAGGGCTAATATCCTTTTGCTTTTAGATGTGTATCTACTTAAAACAACTGAATCAAATAATTGAGTCATTATCAGGAACAACAGATGCTGTTTCTGTGCTGAGGAAGCAGATGAGCCATTTATGGTTGGTGTTTAGACCAGGAACACAGCTTAAAGTAACAAGACACTGGCCCGGGGGAATTGTAGTTTGAGATCCCTATGATATGTACAACAAAATGTACCACAAGACTTTCAGGCGGAAGGGAAGGTATACAGGTAATGAACAACGTGTGATCAATGTGTGTGTGTGAGGGATTAAATTTAATGTAAAGAGGTTTGCAGACCCCTGATTTAAAAAGGTGCGTATAAATACAGGCCATTTTAATATGTTAGCATGTTAGGTTGCAAGTCATATCAATCTTTTTCCTCAATCTCCAGTCCTCAATAACCTACTGTATGCCCTGGAAGTTCGTAGTGTTTTTTTACTTCATTGCACTTAAATCATGTCCTTAACAGCACAGTGTAAACTTGAAGAGATGAAGTAAGAATGTACTTCCGCTATAATTTAGGTGTGTAAAACCAGGGAACAGTTAAAGTTCCCCCTGTACCTTTAGGACCAGAGTATGAGACCGCTCCCTTCACATCTCTGAGTCAAGACTTGAAAATTGCTCTTCAGAGACTCTTCAAATAGTATGAAATAGATTGAATGGATATATAGAAATGGCAAGACTTCAGTTTCTTTACACGGGGGTGCTGAATAAGCAGGACAAAGCTGTCTGCAAAAGATTTAGAGCAAATAAGATAATTTTGTGCAGTTTGGGCTTTACCCAGTGGTTAAGTAATAACTTTCATGATGGCCTATTGGCCAATAGTTTGTACTTAAAACGTATTGAATAACAGAGGTGTCAAGTAACGAAGTACAAATACTTCGTTACTGTACTTAAGTACACTTTTTAAGTATCTATACTTTACTCCATTACTCATTTTTCTTCCTACTTCTGACTTCTACTCATTACATTTTCACACAAGTATCTGTACTTTCTATTCCTTACATTTTTAAAACAAAGGTTACTCGTTACTCTTGGCTTCGGTTTAATGTTTATAAATATTTATTTCATGTCATGTGCGCCATCCAATGCAATTAATCGCTCCATCCACACCTAGTAAAAACTAGTGTAATTGGATGAGTCATATAACGCAAACACTCATTGGTTAGCTAAAGGAATTCATCAGAAGCAAGCAGGTGTTCTTCAAACTGCAAACGTGAATAGGGGGTTTTCAGGTGACATCACGCTCATGTGACTACTCAGCGCGCTGCCATATTGGGTGGTAGCCTTAGGTAGTATTAACAGTGAAAAATGGTGAAATCGTGTGTAATTGTTGGTTGCACGGCCCGTGGAGGTGGAGATCAACGCTCTTTCTATCGCATACCAGCCGTAATCGTGAATCAATGTGAAAAAACAAAACAGCTATCTGAACAATGCCGTCACCTATGGCTGACACGGATATCCAGGTCCGATTTGGACGGTGTTAAGTTGGAATACGCCAGAGTCTGCAGTGCTCACTTTGTCACAGGTAATTAACTGTCAAGCATTTAAAACATGTAAGAATATATTAATAATAGGGCTTGGGCGTCATGACGTATTACTTTCCGTGGCCGCAATGTTGACTGCCTCCGCCGCCGCTACTGAGACTACTGCCTATGACCACCGCGTACTGGACTCCCTCTCTCAGCCGTGTTTTAATTTGATTAATTTCACCTTAACTTGATTTCAACCAGCGGGAAAAGGCTCAAATATGTGAGAAACCCGGAGGGTTTAGGGAGGTTTGGCAGTTAACGTTACTAACCAAACCTTTGAAACACATAGCAGCTAGTTATAAGTACATTACATGCCTGAGTGGTTGTTAGCACTAACGGTTAGCACTGTTTGCTGGCTTTATGAGCTGCAGCTCCTGAACCCATCCATTCGTAAACTGCACATGAGACTCCAAGGAGTTGTAGCTTTGGAACTGTTCGCGCACCGCCGGCCGTTAGCCACCTAGCATAGCGAGCCCTGCATCGGATTGTTTACGTTTTTACCATCTTATTAAAACTCACCCGTCCACGTATGATGGCGATTTCCCTCATGTACATCACTTCGACATCTCCTACCCAACCAGATGTGAACTAGTTGTTAGCCTCTAGACCCTTGTACGCTCTCATTTCCTCAAGAGTGTGCAGAGGGTTTTCACTGAACACCGGGTAATGAACTATGTTACCGTGCTCTACATTTGGCCAATCATCTGGATTAGTGCTAAACAAGGCACCGTGGAGGGCATAGGGGTCCATATGGTCGATCACGGAACATTTCCTCAGATATGTTCCATGATCTGGGGGCTCTAGCGTGCTGGGGTACTTATCCATTCGCGACATGATATATTTGATATACGGTAATATGCCACCCAAGATGGCGGACCGAAAGCTGGCCAGTGACGTCACTGAAAACCCCCTATTGTCTATGCCATGCTACAATGTCTGAATCAGAAAAAGATGTTGAAATGTCTGAAAGGTCGGACACAGGCGAGAGCGTATCTAGAGACGGAGACCAACAAGACCTCCATCATCCTTTAAATTTTTTTAAATAGTTGAATAATTTAGCTTTCAATTCATATAGTGGCATCTGGCTGTTTTTTTCAAAGGTTACTTTATACTTTTATACTTTGAGTAGTTTTTGGAGCTCATACTTTTTCACTTTTACTTGAGTAAAGAGCTCAAGTTGATACTTCAACTTTTACCAGAGTGTTTTCAAACTGCAGTATCTATACTTCTACTTAAGTAACAAATTTGTGTACTTTTGACACCACTGTTGAATAATTATTTAAAATCATGAAGTACACCAATTACCATTGTTGGTAACTGGTGTTGGTAACCGGCCTACTTAGTCAAAGCTAGACATACATCATGAAACTCCTGTTTGCCTGGAACAACAATCACCAGCCATAACTGTGTCGTATTCCAAAAAATAAAAAATAAAGTGTCTTCCTTCTCAGAAACCCAAATCTGGTCAACATAGATATGCTAGCATTACTATTAACAGCTTAACGACAAAGTCATACTTAGAGCTTGCGGTTATGATGGCTTTAAGGTCGGAAAAGGCCCTCGTTGCAGTCAAAGAAGTTTAGCAAATCCTACTTTGAACTCTCCAAGATTTTGAAAGCTGTCATTGTTAAAATGCTTAAATGAACAAATGAAATGCTGAGCATCAAACTTTGCAGGGATCTTCTGATACACAAAAATAATCCATGCCTGTCGGGTCTTCAGATCCTTGGGAAGACTGTGAAAAATGTCTTCTTTCTCCGTGCAGCCTTGAACACTACATTTACGCCTGTGGTTCTGGCTCATTTTCAATAGAGAAACTGCCTGCTTTGTAATTCTTGTAGAAGTAAACCCAACTGTAGGCTAAACAGCTAAACTGGTGTCTTACATCTACCTCTATTCATGCTCTTGGGCCAGTGACCAGTGGGCTGGTCTGTATGTCAATATCGGGGCGTGACAAAAGTACAGGCCAGAACCAAATAAGGCAACGTCCCTGAATTAACGTCAATTCGACTCTTCGTTTTGCCAATTTTATGGTGGAAGTTTAGAATTGTGAGTTTTGCAGAGAAAGGAGGTGTCAATGGGGTTTGAACTTCTCTGTATGTCCATTTCAACCACTGTATGTATGTCCATTTCAACCACTGAATACCGATTCCTCAAAAGTATCAACATTATGACATAAAGCAAACATTATTTGTCACAATGTTGTTTATTTGTCAACATTATGACAAATAAAGCAAAGTATTTTAATACTAAGACATTAGGGAAATGCTTGTTTGTATTATTAGTTAACTGTTAGCATGATTTAATCTTTAAATGGTCATTTATATGGGCTAATACTACCGCATATAATCAATAGAACCAGAGTAATCATGAAATGTGATACCATGTCAGTCTCCGGAGATGGATGGAGTATGTAGGACTGATGCTTGTAATCGTGTGTTCTTATGTGTCCATAGTTGCTATCCTGTGTATTGGACATTCGTGATGGAACAGTTTGCATCCCATTGGTTAATTAACATGAATGGGTCAATTTATATTGATTTCCATGCAGATGACTATCTTTAAATAATTAACCTTTTTTGCAATCAATTATATAAAAGTATTGATTATTTTTGACAACCCTAGGGGATGTCAAAATAAGGGACACTGTAGGAGACAGATCAAAGTCAATACAAATATACAGTAGTTTCATTGTAATTGCAATAAAAAGCTTGGACTCCACTGAGCCTACCTATCTGCTTTATTCTTTGGTCTTCCTGCAGGACAGAAATAGATGGGGGGCCAGGAGTGGCCATGACCACCCTTAGACATTGATTAGCCATCCCTGTGGCCACCTCTACCAGGTGATCCCATATAGACATCATTCACCTGCAGTTGCCCTCTAAAACAGAGGGTGGAAGCATAACAATATTCTCAGGTGGAACATTTCCACAAATTTTAGATCAGAATTGTTTGTATATTAACAATAAACAGACAACAAAAATACAGTAGTCCAGGTAAAGGTTAGGTGTTTTCAAAATTAAAATGATAAATACATAACTCCTCTCAATTTTTCGGAACTAGTTTGTGTGTTTTATGTGAGAGAAGAAAAAGTTATGCCTCTGAAAGCCATCTAGGAGTCTTTTAAACCCATATATGTATATTCAATTCTATTTATTTCAGTTTATTTTTATAGCACTAATTCACAACACATGTCATCTCGAGGCACTTTACAATTCTTTACATAAATGTTCTATCTAACCATAACCAGTTGATTGCATCAACTCATTAACTAGAAGGCAATTCCTCACACTAAGCATACTTGTAGGGACAGTGGAGAGGAGAAACTCCCTTTTAACAGGAAGAAACCTCCAGCAGAACCAGACTAAGTAGGAGCGACCATCTGCCGAGGCCGACTGGGGTTCAAGGAGACAGAAGTAGACATAGGGAAAGAAGCAGAGATACAAAAGACAACTGTAAGCCAGCTCCAAAGGCGGCTACGTCCAGGAAACACACATCAACTCAGACGAGCTCCGAGCCAGCTCCCATGTCAGAGTATGAAGAGAGCACAACCAGCCACAGCCAGAGAAACAGGACTACTCTGAAAAACAGCCAGATCTCCAGCATCTATAAACAAAGGTGTCGATGGCAGCAGCAGAGCTGATATTTCTCTCCAGGATGGTGTCACAGCCAAGCAGGAACAGACCAGATGAAGCTACTATGAGAAAAAGCAGAGAGAGCAGAATGTTAGAGATTGAACTATAAATTCTGCAGTGTGGGAGAATAGAGATAGAATGAAGCAGAATGATGAAAAAGGGGTCCTTGTGTCCTCCAGCAGTCTAAGCCTATAGCAACATAACTATAGAGATGCTCAGGATAACCTGAGCCACTCTAACTATAAACTTTATTAAAAAGGAAAATTTTAAGCCTACCCTTAAATAATAGATACGGTGTCTGCCTCACAAACTAAAACTGGAAGTTGGTTTTACTGGAGAGGAGCCTGATAACTAAAAGATATGCCTCCCATTCTACTTTTAGAAATTCTAGGAACCACTAGTAAACCTGTAGACTGAGAACAAAGTGCTCTGTTAGGAACATAAGGAACAATCAGATCTCTGATATAAGATGGAGCTTGGCCATTTAAGGCTTTAAATGTGAGAAAGAGGATTTAAAATTCTATTCTGGATTTAACAGGAAGCCAATGAAGAGAAGCCAGGATAGGAGAGATATGATCTCTCTTTTTAATTTTCATCAGAACTCTGGCTGCAGCACTTTGGATCAGCAGAAGACTTTTAACTACAGTTTGTGGACTTCCTGATAGTAAAGAATTACAACAGTCCAGCCTTTAAGTAACTAATGCATGGACTAGTTTCTCAGCATCAACCCTGGACAGGATATTTCTAATTTTTGCAATTTTCCCCAGATGAAAGAAGGAAATTCTAGAAACCTCTTTGATATGGGATCTAAATGTCAGATCCTGATCAAAAATAACAACAAGGTTTTTTTTTTTACTTTATTGTCTGAAATCAGTTTAATCCCATCCAAATGAAGTGACTGACTAATCAGCTTCTTTTTCAAAGACTCTGGTCCAAAGACTATAACTTCTGTTTTGTCTGCATTCAGGAGCAGAAAGTAAAGAGTCATCAGTTTTTATTTCTTCAAGACATGCCTGTAATCTATGTAATGGGTTAGCTTCATCTGGATTTATACTGTAGACGGATATAGCTGGGTATCATCAGCATAACTTTGGAAATTAATCCCATGCTGTCTAATAATTCTACTGATTGGGAGCATATAAATTGGTCCTACTACTGAACCCTGTGGTACTCCACAGGTAACCCTGGAGCACAGTAAAGATGTATTATCATATATATATATATATATATATATATATATATATATATATATATATATATATATATATATATATATATATATATATATATATATATATACATTTTTCTAAAGCCTTCCTCTTCATCTCATAAACTTGCAAGACTGCTTCATGCAATTATTAGTCATTTTCTAACTATACAGTGAGAGCTTAAGTCAGCAGAACCACAGCTAGCTCAATACATAAACACTAGAATTGTACATGCACAGCAAGAGCAGGCCAATAGATAAGATTTTGCCCCAGAATTTAAAGCTTAAAGATCATCCACAGTACCTTTAATTTGCAGAACATGATACGTTTGTGTTCATTTATTAGCAAGGGTTTCGGGAAAATGTATCTTAATCTAGAAAATATGGATGTTGTGCTTGTTCATTTTCTATTGATTGGCCCTGAACTGGTTCCAATAACATTATGATAAGATTATGCAGATCAATTCTATTTACTGATTTGTAACAGCTAATAAAAAGATTGATTGACTCGTTTTTAGTTGCATCAAAGTAAGAGAGCTGAATCTAAAACACATTACCCATTTTAAATGTTTATTTGTAAAAAAAATAATGTTTTTTTTCCTCATTTCACAATGCTGAACTACTTTCTGTTGCCCTATCTCATGCACTGCACCAGAATACAATTATTTTTTCTGGTTGTAACCTGAAGAAATTGGAACCAACAAGGAATTTGAATAATTTTCATTTTTATGATAGCTCACTGGCACCAGACAAAATGTGCTTCATGGGAGGAAACAAAAATAGAGGTAGCATGAGGTAAAAGTTTTAGAGAGGAAATTTGGATCATGGCCAGAATTAGCCAAGAGATATATGGGTTGAATTAGCAGATTCAGTGTCAGCGAGCAGGAGCAGGGGGGATATCTGAATTTGGGGCTGGCTATCATCCATGCAAAATAGATGATGCTGGTGCTTGTAGTTGTGAGTTGGCAAAATTACCGTAGCATCTGTAGCAAGCGGACCATGTCTCATGTATATTAATGAGCTGCTTTTAATATATCCCTCATAGGCTGTAAAAACACACAGCAGCAGACTTTAACAGGTTGTTTATGTTATTCTTGTTATCTTCCTGGATTATCATTAGCATTGTTTATTCTAACAACAGGTATGCACTGCATGTGGATCAGAGTTGATATTGGGGAAGCTCTAAGTGACTCAAATGTATAATTAATTAGTATTTTTGTAGTCATTCCATTAAATGAAGCACAGTGCCATCAGTGTGGAAATTATGCTAAAATGATTAATGGATTATTTACAGTTTGTGTATTAAGTATGTTCAGCAACAGAGTGGAAAGCTGCACCATCTTTTTGCACTGCTACATACTGTTTACATTCTGCAACAACCAGTTTCTGTCATTTAACAAGAACCAGTTTTAAGAGTTCCTCCATTTTTTGAAGCCAATGACTAGACAAAAGAAGAGCCTTTTAAAGTTCTATCCTGTCTCCTGCAGCAATTGTTTGATATTAAAGATACTCACATTTTAGTGTGTCCGATCCTTTTTATTGATTGGATTAACAGACGATCCCACTGTGTCCTCATAGATTTAGCTTCAAACAAATAAAGTATGTAATAGGTGTTCTGTTTTGTAATGTGTATGATATGATACAAATATAATTAATCAGATTAACAATTGTCTATGAAAGTACTTGTAGTGATTTTTGCCTGATAAAATTCATCAAAGATTTTCCAAGCCCTATCATTTGCATTATCCGTTTTTTCTTTCTTTGCAGCCACAGATATTTTGGCCTGAATGAAATTCTCTTCTTTAACTCTGGTAGAAAATTGACACTATCCGGGCAATGTATCACCTGTAACAGATTTATCAATTGTTTCTAAAGATGCAACTCACTAAACACCTACAATCTTCAAAAGATGTGCATCTTACTCATATCGATGGTGTTCTAAAAGGGATCAGTTTGCAAATGTTCTACACTAAAGTTAGATTTTTTCTCTTTTATAATTACCCTTTTAACAATAATGATTATGCTCTTGATAAGTTCTAAGGTAGGGTAAGGGTAGGGGTAGGTTTTTATTTAGACACAAATAAAATAGAAAAACGTTTTTCAACTGTTGCTTAAACTAAGCAATTAGCTTTGAACACCCTAATATTTAAAAATTTGTTTCAGCTGCTCTCTGCACAGAACCCTTAGCAGCTGTGTAAATCTGCACCAACACAACCACCAGCTTTGTTTACAAGGCAATTTGCATAACAATAACTATTCTGTTTTTGAATGATGATGATTAATCTGCTATGGTTGTGGTGTACACACATACACATAAATATGGATGTGTTTTCACCATAAATATATGCAATATGCTGAGTTTAAAAGTGGTATTCAAACAGGGGAATGACATCAATGAATCTGTGGACCAAGAGTAACCCATATGGCAGAACCAGGGATGTAAGCATTTTTCAGGATAATATTGTAGTAACAGGAAAGGCAACTCTAACACTGATTCAAAATCAGTAGCAGTAAACTTAGTTATATACCGAGGAGGGCACCACACAGTTTTAGACACAAAAGCAGGACTGCAACAAATGTAGAGCAAATTGTTGAATAATGCCCATGACATAGATAGCATATATTTCTGTGTATGCAGTTTATTAGAAAAAAAAGAAAATGTTAATTTAGGGGTTAGTTGTCCTTTAACTACCATGTAGCATGACTTTCTAATAGCTGATCTCTGTGCATCAACTCCACAGTTTTATAAGACATGCATCTAAAATAAGGTTGCTCGGGTGTTCGAGGTCCAATTTTTGAACTTCCATGGAGTGCAACAATTGAGTAAAAACCGGAGCTGACTTCTTCAAGTATTCAGAAACTTATATTTAAGAGACTGGTGGTGCATTTGACGTATTTAACACTTCTCCCTTTCTTCCACTTAATTCTCGCAAACCTGCAGGTATTTCAGCAACATAACACTGGGTGGTCGAGACTACTCCTTCAATAGTGACGGTTACCTGGCCAACCCATTCCTGGACGTCATCTCGTGGACACCTGGCAGAGGATGGGAAGATGTAAGGACATGAAATAACTACTTAAATATAACCGTGTGCTGGGAATTGCATGGGATTGCATGACTATCAATGACTATCAAACGAGGAAAGAGTTGTGTCACATACAGCAATTGTGCTTTATAAAAATATAAATATTAAGATGTTTGAGAATCTGTAATTTGGCAGACAAATAACAGTTTAATTATGTTTTTCATTTCATATGTTTGCTCATGTTGATTATAGATATTTTTTATTTTTTTCTAATGAGTCTACCATCAAACTTATTTGCTTTGAAATCTTATTTGCTTTAAAACTCAGTAATATCACAAATCATTTCCGAAACTTTATAGCAAATATGCTTGGTTTGAAAGCGTGGAGATAAAAGCATATGCATTGCTTTTCCTATTTTAAACAACACTGAATTCTTAATTATTCTGTCCAAGCTTGAACAGAAGCTCTGTTCTACATTGGCATCTGGAAAATAGGACTTGAAGTGAGCAAGGAGGACAGTCAGGTAGTAAGGTTTTATTCAGACTGTCAGGGCTCCAAGGCAGATGATTTGTGTTGACCAATTAACTGTACATGGGATTTGGTGCTTTTGTTAAGCTGCTATTGATAATCTATATTTCAATTTTCCTGCTTTTTAATTCATAGTGAATAACATAACAAAAAAGAAGAAACATTTGCTGCAGCATCTTTAATGAAGATAGACATTTGAATCAAAGAAAAGAAGTGAATGCTGCCCTTTTTTGCTCTAGACTTTGTCTAATTAGTACAAAACTCAAACACTAATACAATATGCATAGTATCCTGGATACACATTTAATATATTTTGGTTTGTTCCGACCCCCCGTGCAGAAATCCACCATGAAACCCCATTAAAATAAACCCTCACAATTTCAGCATAATAATTATTAATCCTTGCTTAAAGCAATAGGATAGTGACATTTTATTGAAACAATTGATATTAACCACCATGAACATGGAATACATTGCTAACTGACATGTTAGAGTCAACTGACAGGAGTGGGAGTTTGAAGAAAAAGGCAAAAGCCTATTTAACATTTGAAAATGTTTGGGTTTTGTTTTTTTTGTTTTTTAAGGAATGCAATTTTTTGGTGTCTCAATCATAGGGCTTTTTGAACCTGGCCTATGTGCCAAAACAAAAGAAACAGATTGCAACTGCCCCTTTCCCCTCACATAACTACTGGCAGATCTCGTGTAAATGTCTCCAGACCTGCAATTAAAAAGAGATGGCCTATAGACAGCCTTTTTCTGCTCATGTTTCAAAATGCCAGTAAAGCTGCAGATATCGTTGTTATTGTGCAGAGTTTTGGTGAGTGATACTAAAGCTTTATTTGGGTAACCCTGTACACAGAAGCTTTATACTCTTTTCTTTATTGCAAACACCTTTATAATGGCTATGGAAGGAAACACCTCCTTGCATCTGTTCCGTCTTTGACTCTGTCATAGCAGGTACAGGGGAAGCAGAGCATATTACGCAGCAACAGGTGGAGCATATAGTGCTGTCAAAAGGTTTAAAGATACGGTATGCAAGTGTTTACTGAAATATATCTATAAAATAGGTTTTTGTTTACCCTTTATGACTAAAATATTATTTGTTGAGCAGGTTGACTGCTCAGTACTTCAGCACCAATTCATCTATAAGCCTGTTGCCAACTTTCCTTAATGTACTTTGGATCGGAAGTTCCGGCTCTGTTCGGTAATGATGCTATGACGTTCAGCACATCCATCTTAAATGAGAATGTTCTAGAAAACAATCAAAGTGTTGCGTTCAAGAAGGATTCCGTGAATATTCAGAAGCAACTTGCATCTAGTTCACCTGAGACACCGTTTGCAGCTTCGTTTATTGTAAAAAAAGAAAAGAAAAAAAACTTGTCAAGTACAAGCTCAAGCTACGAGAATGAACAGAGGAGTACAGCATTGGAAAACTCTATAATACCTCTTTAATTATTGTCTATTTAATGATGTAAGAAATAAGTAAATTGTACACTTTTGCATTCTATGCCACTGTCTCCCCCATTGTTATGTAATTAACCCATTTTTTTTTTAGTTTAGTTTCAAATTGCTACAGTATGCTTGATTACTATAATATAAAATAAATGAATCCTTTAAAAAGAACATTTCTGACAACATACAATAAAGTAGACTGATCCTCCTGATAATTTATATAAACTTAAGGATAAAGGGCAAAAATAATTAGGAAGTTATCCACATATTGTGTACATGTAGAAAACTGTTGAACCTTTTATAGGAATAGCCAAACCGCCACAATTAATTACCCCATATTCACACAGACCCCTTCATCTGTGTGTTTACTTTTCCTTCACAAATAGAAGCTTTTTTAGTTATTGTGGTAATCCCTACTGACTCTATTGAGCTGCACTATGATGCACAGCTCCCCCCCGTTGTTCATCCGTTATGCAGTTTGAATCAATTTGTAATAGATGACAGTTAAATATGTCAACATCTAAAACCCAAATGAGCCACCTGGAGTCAGTCACAAGGAGGCGATGCATGGACAGGTCCTGCATGCATCAAGTTTGGACTGCTGCATGGAAACATTTCGAGCAGAATTACATAGCAGAAAAGTGAAGTAGTATCTGGAAGGCTGGCTTTACACCAAAAGCACACCAACAGCTCATCCACAAGCTCACAACAAAATAAAATAAAAAAAGTATTTCAGGTTCATAGTATTTCTGATTTAATAGAAAGATTAAAAAAATGGCATTCTTAGGAGATTCAAGGCAAAAAACACAGATGACCTAAATGACAAAATTTTTATGAACTGATCATTTGAAGTATGTTAGTCTGACATAAGGCAAAAAGAGAAACAATTAGTTATGGATTAAACAAATTTTCATAACTCTTCAGATGGGCAAACATGGAGCCAGGGTTACTAGAAAAGAACAGCAGCTATATTCCTGTTTGCAGAGTAAATTTTATATTTGTCATGAGTTGTTTTATTTAGAGGCTCTGTATATGCTGTTCATTGCTTCTATATGTTCTAGGAACTGAGCGTTGTAGCTTTGAGGCAATCAATCAGATGAGGAAAAATATTTAAGTTCTGTGCTCTACAGACATTATTCCACTATCAAGGATACTTAAAAAAAAACTTCTTCATTCCAGTTTGGTTGATTTTTGGCTTAAAAGCTCTGCAAACTCTGAAATATTTATGTTTTACTTGACCTATTAATTTGAGAGCAAGAATAAACCCATAATCATAAGAAAATAAAACCACTCTAGTGCATTTGATAGTAATGATAAATTCAGAAATTTCTGTGTTCAGAGTTGCTTTATATATCATGTCCAGGAGATTCTAGCAATTGAAGACATTTATGGAAGAAACTCTGCCTTTAAATGCTTTTTTATGGCTGGGATTAGAAAGGAACAGCAGTAAAAAAGAGGCATTTTAAAGAATTGCAGCAAAATATCACTTGAATTTAAACCTTAGATTAAATCTTTGTGTTAGCAGAGGCTTAATTTTGGACTACATTGCCACAGACAGAACAGTTAGTAATTAACCAGTGTTGATGCTACTGGCAAGCAATCATCTAATCATCAAAATGATGATAATAAACATCATATATGTAGCAAATGTTATGCATAAAGCATCAATAGGTGTTTAGTAAAAAAAAATGTAAAGTACAACTGTTGAACTTTATATTCATTCTTTAATTAAAACAAAGTTGCAAAGGTGTCAATTACCCTTTCAAAAACATGATAAACAAAATTGGAAAATTTTATATCAGTGTTATAATGTATCAACCTTCTTTAACATAAAAGCATAATTGTTCTCATATTTTGTCATTAGACATTCAACATCAATATCCTGTTGTTTTATCTAGTCGGTAGTTTTGATTTTTCTGTTTTAGGTTCTTGCTTGATAAAAACATACTCAAATGATTATGATTTCTAGATGTCAAAACTTTCTGCTCGGGGACAGACATACTATATAAAGTACTTTACGCATGCCTCTCAAGAATCACCAGCTTTCATCTGTCATGCATATTCTGTTAAACTATTTTTCTTCCTTCGCATTCTTGCCAGGAAGTCTTGTCACCTGTTTGAGATGGTTTCCGTTTTTTATATAGATAGATTTCAACCCTAGTCAGTATCAGAAGATTGTGTGTGGTGCTAATTTTCTCAGCTCCATACCAGCTTCTATAATGCCTCCCTGTACATGCATAAAGACGCACAACATGCTTAGATCATTCGCTCCAGCAATGACAGAAATAGGCGCACACAAGTATGCAACACACATCAGTGGTTCTTAGTTCCCTGCTGGTTTTAACAGCCCACCAACGTCCAGTCTCAGCATGTCGTATTACATTGACTTCTGCCATTTTCTTCAAATTCCTTTCAATTAGAGACTCCTGTGCCGATCCTTCCACTAACTGCAAACCTAGGTTGTGAAAGCTGCCCCCACACACAGAAAATCATGCTCACAACTTCCACAGACATCCAGTGTGGACACAAAGGAGACTACTGTTTGCAAAGACAAATATGCCCACTCCCCTTCTTGCATAAATGCACTGCCTCTATCTGCCTATTATACACATCCATGCTGTTGAATATTTGATATTATTTTTACAATGACTGTACCATCACTTAGAGCTTGGGCGCCCCAAGACCTAGCGGACTGAACCTCTGCAGACGAGTGCTTGAGGTTGTTCAGCATTAGGCGGGGTGTCTTTCAGCTATAGACACAGCACAGGGATGTGATATTAACAGAATTTAATAACCATTTATAAAAGCTACTCTTAGTGGCTGAGGAGTAAAACTTTACCTTAAAGTGACTCCCGGTCCTAAAACTTTGCTTTAAGGGAAAATCCTTTCTCTGCCGCACGATATTCAAGACTTTGCTCTGCTATTTTCTTTTTCTTCTTTTCCTGACATGTGTGTCTGCTTCTTTCTGAGTATTTGTCTCATAGAGTGCAGCATTCTCCTCAGTAAGCTTTGTCTGTTTCCTGTCTATGTTCCCTACCAGTGTTTTGATTGAATGTCTTTTGCCGAGCTGCGGTCGTAGTGCAGTAGAGACACTGTCATGGTCTCCACCTCCTCCTCCTCTCTGCCAGCGCTTACACTGCACTGACAGACAGGCTGCACAAAAGCTGCCATACTTTACTGTTCTGGCCTGCCTAAGCAATCAGATTTTTATTTTGGTCTTTCTTTTAAATATTTATATATATACAGTATATGTATATGTGTGTGTTTATGTATCTCAGTGTTTATGCTTGTCAATAACTAAATATACTAAATATACAGGATACATTTTTTTAATGTTCCACCTTTCTGCAAACTTAAAAATGGGACATTTTAAGACTTACACCTAGATATTGAAAGATTAATGAAATACATTTATTTTCAGGTCAGTGATAGACAGAGTTCTAAACCTGTAATTATTTTTTCTATTCATGCAAAAATGATGGCTTATGTTACTCAGGCATGTCTTTTTGTAATGTCTGTTAGTAACTCAGTGCTTCTAAATTGGACCCTTTTGAATTATTTAAGCTGGTTAAATTCAATTAAAAGTAGGCTGCAGGGTGCATGGTGGTCTTTGAGGTTAAAGAGGTGTATTTAAGCCTTCAACAGACCTTTTTACTCTAGAAACCAAGTGCATCTGGGGTTTCTTATTTAATCATTTAAATTTGTCTGATAATTGTGTTATTTCTCCAATTTACCAGTATATGAAGGGCTAATATAAAGACTGTATTTGCATGTTCTGATGCATTTTGTCATGTAAATATCTGTCTAGTTACTGCTTCCTTTCAACATAGTTATTATTTTGGCCAAGTGAAAAAAAAACATGATAGAAGCACAATATGTTAAGCAGTACATGTGCAGCATAATCAAATATAACTCTATCTCTGTGTGTGTTCTGGCTTTATGAGGCCTGTACTCTTTAAGCTTGTTTATTGTGTTGTTTGGGGTCTCTCATCTATGGCAATGCTGGTTTTTCATATTTTTAATGTCTATGCTTCTCTCTTTCCGCAATAAAAAGAATGACAAAATTATTACACTTTATTCACACATAATAGAGAAGGATAAATTTAACGAATAACTTACTGACATTCTCGCAAGATATTAGGTTCAATAGGGGTTGTCTTTTTTAAACCTTTTCCCTGCGATGCAGGAGAACAGACTGCAGAACCTAGTTGAAGATTTGAAGCATAACTTATGAACATGCATTACATTAGTTAGATTTTTACAGATATGTTTACCAAGGTTTAAAAAAGTTCTGTCATACTATTCTATTGGTTTATGTTTTAGAATGATCACAGTTTGTTTCTGTGAAATACCATCCATCAAGTGAAATGCCATCAATCAATTGATTAATCCATCGATCCATCACTGCTATTAATGTAACTGTGGAAAACTACCTTTGACTAGCTACAACTAATATGTCCGTAAAACATCCGACTGGATATCTTGACTAACCAGCTGATATCAGTTTAAGCAGAGGCAGTTCTTGCATTATTGAGATCTAGTCTGCTTTTTCTACAGTCCTTTGCCGTAAATTACAAAACAAACAAACTTTCTTCCACTCGGCACCACTGGAAAATGTATTTCATCAGAAGAAAAATACATATTGAACTGTTTGAAACTAATGAACAAACATAAAGGGTTTTATGATTTTAAGATAGTGGATTAAAATTTGACAGATTCTTTAACAAATTCAACTTGTTGCAGATTCATGCTGCAGATTAAACCTCATTCTTTTAATAATTAATCTGCGACAATAAGCAATACTAAAATGGGTCTGGATGACAACAGACAACAACAGGTAAACTGGAAAACAAATCACTGAACTCAGAAGATATAATAGGTGTTTACTGGAGTAACACAAAAGAGAGAGAACAACCAAATGAGGGAGGGCAGTTTGTTGAAATTCAATGACAGACTAAAACAAAGAACACACATCAGAAAAAAGTATAAAACTAAGATAATGCAATGCAGGATATATGTATGTAACCATATAGGCATACATGTTCAATTGAAAAATGAATCCTGAATTAAGGTGTTTACTTAAAAAAAATTTCTTAAGTCGATTATCAAGTAACATTTACTGCATCATTCAGGACAATATGAGTTAATCAATTATTGAGTTATTAATTAATTATTCATTTGTATTAAAAAAATATCAATATATATCATTATGTGAATACTGAGCAGCAATGATAGTTTTATTCCATATTATGATAAATTGATAATCTGGTAGTGGCTCATGTGTAGTTGAAAACCATCAACTGCAGTATAATATAAACAGTAAAATGCATTATAAAAAAGAATGTCATATCAAAATTTCACTTGGGTTGCCAGTTTCGCCCTATTTTCCTATTTGTGTCTAACCACTATGCCTAAATATAGAACATTTTTGTTTTTCACCCTTGCCCACAGGATGTATGCAGCTATCAAATTTTCAACCTACCTACATACTGTCTCGGGTTAAAGAACAGCAGCTCTTTCAAAATCAATTTCAGTGATTTTGTTGTGGTTAATTAAAATATTCTAGCTAAACAACTCCCTCAGAAAACTGCATTTAGATGGTGTCACCTCAGAATCCAAGTTCGAGAGATACAAAGGATTGTTAAGTATTTCACAACAACAGAATAGCTAACTATTGGTATACAAGCCAAACTGTAAGTCCAGAAATTACCTATTCTCCTCACAGCTCTGTACGGTCCTAATTCACTCGTGCAGGAACACAATCACTAAATGATTCAAGTCAATTGATTCTTAACCCGCAGGAGATTTAAACCATCTGATCACAAGGACCGCCACTCCAAAGGAACAGCTAATGTTACCAGGCGTAGGCGCAAAGGGATCGATGACCTTATTCCTCACATGGTTACACTTCCAAAGCCACTTAATCACAATGTTCCTCTTTGTTTTAGCCCAGCTCTCTGATAAAAAAATAATAAGTTGTGAACACGAGCAAAAAGCTGATTATTTCTTTGTGTCTGCAACTTGAATAAGGGGAAAGTAGTGACTTACAGTATATTATTTCATTTCCCAGGATGTTTCAGTTATTCAATAATAAAGTGATACAAATGGCTTAAATTCAGACCAGTAAGCTTAAAAGCAACTTATTAGATGACAGAGAAGACAAAGAACATCACTAATCAGCAACAGATGCTATTTAACCTATAAAATTCATAAAATTGTATGATCATTAAAATAGTATGATGTGTTTGTGAAAGAAAAGACAAACTTATTGCTCATAAGGCCAAGACAAATATCCAAGAGCTGCTGAGTGTATTGCCTTGGGAAAGAAAAGATGCTGGGGATAATGGGAACGTAAATTTATTTATACAATTAATGAGTTTATTTAAAACTTTCAAGGGTGAGACAATTGAAAGTGTTCATGAAAAACAAAACAAACAGTTAAAGAGAATACAAGTTACACATTAAGATAAGTGGTATAGTATATATATAATGAGTGTTTTGAAAAGATATTATTTAGTAAAAGAAAACAAATGAAAAAGTTTGGAAATATAACTAATAATATTTACATTGCACAGTCAAAGGCCACTATGAAAAATAATTTTTTTTTTTATCTCCATTTAAATAAAATGACACATAACAGGTAAGCAATTTGAGAACTTTTTTTTCTAAATTTGGAATGCGTGTGAGTTCAAAAATTGTACCATGAACTAGATCTGTCAATATTTTCAAATTAAAAATCCTTTGTTTTAATAACCTATTCGAGAAATAATTGAGCACCTTTCCCTTTTACAGAAACTGCCTTCAAGATGCAGACAGAAAGTCAACAGAGTTACAGTTGATTGTTTTTGATGCTTTCTGTTCATTTCTGTTAGGAAAGAATACAGTGTTGATTTATCAGTACAAAGAGAGGGAATAAAAAGTGCATCCTTCTCTAATGTTTCTCTCTTCTGTTCCCCTAGGTAGGCTGGTGGGAGAATGGTGTGCTGAGGCTTCGTTACCCAGCATGGTCCCGCTATGGGCCCTTCCTGAAGCCACCTGACGATGCCCAGCACCTACGCGTCGTAACACTGGAGGAAAGGCCATTTGTCATTGTGGAGCTTGCAGATGCTGCTTCAGGAACTTGCATCCGAGACTCTGTTCCCTGCAGACGACCCCTCAATGCCAGGTTTAAATCATGCAACCTTTTTCTGTTGTAAAGTACTGCAGTTTCAATTTAGATAAAATGTGTAATGGCAATCCCTATCCTATACTATATCATAAAACCTATCACAATGGCCCCTGCTGTATTATTTATGTTCTGTAGACTTTTTATTTATTTTCTGTATTTTTTTCTTTTGCCTTTTCTTTCCCAGTGCTATTCATGAGGGTTTGGCTCCTCTAAAGCAGTGCTGCAAAGGTTTCTGCATTGACATCCTAAAGCGCCTAGCTAAGATTGTTGGTTTTACCTATGACCTCTACTTGGTGACCAATGGGAAGCATGGGAAGAAAATCGATGGCGTTTGGAATGGCATGATTGGAGAGGTTAGTCTTTGATTGTGTTGTAATGCTTGTTCTCTCTGCCTTCCTTCCTATACACTGTGTGATGAATGTAAGGCAGGTAATAAAGACGTGGGACCAAATCTTCACAACTTAGTCTCACATCATTATTGTCAAGTTTCAAGTCTTACATCAAGACTACGGTTAATGTTAAGTGCAGAACAAGTCCTTTTGTTTAAACTTCAAGTCACTATCAGTCATTGTTGATACTGTCTTTTTGTTTTTTATATCTTTTAATTTAATGGTTAATTCTGAATTAGTTAAATATTTGATTGGACTTTGCCTTGGGTCTGGTAATTAAGACAGTTCACACATCTGGGTCATACTTGTGTAAAAAAAAACATGGTTGGAAATTGGGGTTGAACTTAATCAACACATAAGACATTAATATTATCCCACTGCTTTTATTTCTTGTTGAGTTATTGCACAGATTATGACAACTGATTGTTGGCTTTTTTTTATTGTATTCTGCTTGCTATAAAAGAGGTCAGATAAACCATCATAATTTTTTTCTGTCATTTACATTGTACCTGTTTTAATTTCCCCATTTATAACCCAATTTACCATTCAAACAGCAGCTTTGGAGAAGGTTAGAAAAAAAATCTGTTGGCTGCAGCATCAATTTGTGTATCATATACACAACCAAGACTTTGGATTGTACTTGGCTCCCAGTGTCAGCAGAATGCATTTATAATCGTTTGTATGGTTCAATGTGACTTAAGTAGTCTGACATTTAATTGGAAATATTAAAGGGCGATAAAAAGGTTAAAAACACGGAAAATATGTTTTTCTCCACACTATGTTCACACTGTATACTTCTGTGGAAAGTTTCAGTTTATACTGTTTTAGAATAAGCATAAAGCATACTAGATACCCCCACATATTTAAGGTCAGTCCTTGATATTTTCTTGGTCATATAGGTTATCAGTCCTGTAAAATCAAGACAGATGTGCTGGTGAAAGGAGGAGTGGGAAAAGTCTCAAAGAAACAATCATGCACTCGCATAGTACTAACTCGTATATTGAGATCAACACAGTGTTTGTGACTTCATTGAAGCTCTCCACTGTTTCATTCTCACAGAGGGAACTTGTCGCACACCCAGTCTCGCGTTTCTAAAACAGTTCCTCACTGCTCTCGTGCTCTTATCATTTATAACTTGACCCCAGGTCAGAGCTGACTGTCAGATCTATTTTTGCAAGATGAAAAAAAAAAGAAGAAACCAAACCTATTTTGTTTTCTAAAGCTAATTCCTGTCATTTTCATCAACTCCTCCCAAGCCTGCCATTCTTTGATCAGGTAATCCAAAGACTAGGCAAAGCTGGGTGGAGGGGGGGGGGTTTGCGTTCCGCTTCGATTCAGTTTTCTGCTGATTTGTTTTGAAGAGCAGATGTGCCATGTCTAATGTAGATTAACATTTTGCTTGTACAATCAGCAGACACAGCGGTTTTGAGGTTTTACTTAATGGTTGCAGAGAGTAGACGGGTCTCCGGCTCATTCTGCATGCTAAAGAGATGCGCAGGAGACATGTGTTCAGTAATTGCACTGAGCCGAAACACTGACTCCCCTCATGTTTGGCTGTACAAAGGGTCAAGGTGCAGAAATGTCAGGATGTGAACTGGAAAAAAAAGTGTATGGTGGACTGTAAAAAATTGGCTTTGTCTATTCAGAGCAGTTACTTGATTTTCCATAATTAGAACTCTTTCCTATCACTGCTGTTGTTCTCCTCAGGTGGTGTACAAGCGGGCGGACATGGCCATCGGCTCACTGACTATCAATGAAGAGAGGTCCGAGGTTGTGGATTTCTCTGTTCCCTTTGTGGAAACAGGGATCAGTGTCATGGTCTCCCGTAGCAATGGAACTGTTTCACCATCAGCTTTCTTAGGTGAGACCGTTAGCCCACTGCAAGGCATTTGCTGATGAACAGCATCTAATGTAGATGTAAAGTGTTGAGTTTGCAGAAAAACCCTTGATCTTTGGTTGCTGGCCCCTACATCTAGATTTTTTTAGCTTCTCATGTCTTCTTAATGTCTTTTTTTACTCTGTCAGCATACTCGAGGCCCCAGAGGGAGATCAATGTTACTGACTTAAATGAATCGAGCAGAGCTTAGAAACATTAAACAGTGTTTATCTACTAAGGACTGTGTTTGCTCCAATGCTTTTGTTTAAGGAGATTGATTTATGTACAAATTATATAACACAATCTTCTGTACTTTATTCAATTAATTAACTATTTTGTTTTTTTGTTTGTTCTTTTTTATTTTTTCACAGAGCCTTACAGTCCAGCAGTGTGGGTGATGATGTTCGTCATGTGCCTCACTGTCGTGGCAGTGACTGTCTTTATTTTTGAATTTTTCAGCCCTGTGGGCTATAATCGCAGTCTGCAGACAGGAAAAAGTGAGTGATGAGTCTAACCTGTCTATATGTCCGTGATAGATGAATTTGTCTGAGTACAGTCCATCACTGATGCCTCATGTATCGAATCATTAGATAATGAACATTCTCTGGCAAAACTGGAAGAAAAACAAGAAATGCGCAAATGTAAACTACCAGCCAATATTTTCAATTCACCCTTTCATTAAATGGCGTTTTTTATTTTTAACACTATCTCTGACAACAACTTTAATGTGCTCAGGAAACTCTGTTATGTGGATCAATCTATGAAACTCAGTGCTCCTAATTCCTGCAACTGTTATGGTAACTTATTATGTTACCACAACACATTGTGGTATCATACCCTTGTGAGCTCAGTTTGTCCAGGAATAGGCAAATAACAATAAAAGAGAGACAGACCATCATAACACTAAAAAATTTACAGTAAGTCTCTTCTAAACAAAAATGGTAAATAAAATTGATGTGTCAACTGGTATCAGTTTTCCACCATAAAAGGGTACTCAGAAACTGACAGGAAGAGGTCTTGCAGACCCAAAAGTACATCTGAATTGGAGATCAAGTTTCTAAAAGATAATACTGTAGCTTGTGTGATAGATGGCTCACAGGACAACAACTTTAAGAACAGCTTAATAATAAATTCATAAGCAGGATTTGTCTCAACTGTGAAGAGATGACTGAATTGCAGATTTGACAGGACAAATGAGCGAGAAAGCCATTACTAAGATGCCAGAATAGAACAAAGAGGCTTGCCTGGGACATGAAATGCTGCCATTGGACAACTGAAGAATGAATGAAACTATTATGGACTTAATCAAAGTTTTAAATCTGTGATTCATCCCAAAAGATGTCTCTACATCACCAAAGAGGTGAGAGGATGTTTCCCAGTATGGGAAATCAACTGTCAGACTTAAATAAGGAAGTGTGGTATTCTAGGGCTGTTTTGCTGGATCCAGGGGAAGTGGTTTGTACAAAGTAAGAGGTAAACTCAACCAAACTGGTACCACGGCATTCTGCAACTGGAATGCCCTCTGGAATATACCATGATTCAAATCATTACCAAACATAAGTGTAAGCTATTCTGGACTATCTCAGGAAAAGGGAACAAGATTATAAGTTTTGAAACGGTAGTCAGCTGTCCCGCTGTTACACCAGCCAAAGGTGGCTAATTTAATGAAATAAAAGTTTAGAATATCTGTTGGTCTATAAAATGATTCCAATATTTCCTTTTTATACATGCAGTATACTGAGCAGGATCCAAAAGTTATCCGTATTAAAACAGCCATTTATTATTCAGCAGCATATTTTGTACTGTTCTGATTTTCCATGTGCTTGATGCCTTGGTTCAGCAGCTCACTGGATTCATATCCTTTACTACATGAGTGCAGTGGTGTACCTAATTTCACCTCTCTGTCATCCTCCACCATATCCCCACTCAGTAACTCTCATCTCTTCTAGTCCAATCTCCCATGGCAACTTACAGTACTGAAAATTGATGTTTAATACAGTATACATTTCGATTACTAAAAAACTGAATGTTTAGGTGTGTTACAATATACTAAGCTGTTGAATAGAGTAAAGATTAACAGAGTCTGGACACCTTCAGGAATATTCTTGAGTTAAATTTGAACTTTTTTCAAGTCTTTCAATTCATTTGTTGGGTTCTACCTCCTTCCCCATGTCTATCTGATGCTTTCTTCCTTGCTTTCTTTTTCAGTTATTTGGTCATTCGTGTTGTATATTGGTGATCCTATTCAGTCTGGAAAACAATTCGATTTTTACATAAAAATTTTGTTGAAACCATTCACTGAGGAATTTAATTAACAGTCCCATACAGTCCAATGCCCTCCCTCACAAAAATGACTAAATATACATATGTTAAACATATATTTCTTTTGCATAATCTCCCACCGAAGTTAATTTTTAGCCAAAAGTAAAATATGCATTTTATTTTAAGGAGCATAGCGCAACTTCTAAAGTTTTTGCAAAGATTTGCCCCTCTGGTGACAAGTTCAAATGACCCCACACATTAGAGGAATCGAACTTCATCGCCATTTGACTTATTTTGTTTTTCTTACATTTGTGTAGAGTATTTGATGGAGTTTGAGGTGCACTTCTATGTAGCTAATCTTTTGTGGTCAGACTTCAGAAACGCTCACTGATGTTTAATCTCTAATGCATCAATGGCTGCAGAGGCTGAAGCCAGATGAACAAGAGCACGCCCACACCCAGAGAATAAAACCCAAATCACTCTTATTAACTGACTAATGGAGTCAATAGAGGGTATTGTAGTAAATGCAGAAAAACAAATTTTACAAAGCAGGCAATTGTAAAGGTATGCATGGGAGTGAAAAATATATAAATCGACCTTTATTATTTTGCTAAAACCCTTTAGGGACTTTCCCCCCCATTTTTACTAGTATTCACAGTGAATGTTGGGGGCTGTGTTTTAGCTATATATATATATATACTGTACTGTACCTGAACATCCCTGCTTCTAATCATTCTAATCTTTTTTTCTCCATTATTGTTCTAATTAGAGGCTGGAGGGTCCACTTTCACCATTGGAAAATCTGTATGGCTTTTATGGGCCATTGTTTTTAACAACTCTGTACCAGTGGAAAACCCAAGAGGAACCACAAGCAAGATCATGGTGCTGATTTGGGCCTTCTTTGCGGTCATTTTTCTGGCCTCCTACACTGCTAACCTGGCTGCCTTCATGATCCAGGAGGAGTACATCGACACAGTTTCAGGTCTCTCGGACAAGAAGGTACTTCTGCACTTGAATACTGATTAGGTGGAAAAAGCAGAGGGAGAATCAATGTCTTGAAGTGAGCCAAATCCCATGCATTTGAATGTTAAATTGATTAACGCATGGGAATTAAGAAATGAATAGAACCTCTTGTATCATAATTTGATTACTACTTTTCCTGGACACACAAAAGATGATTTTAAATGTTACTTTAAGTCCACAGACTGCTCTCTTTTCATTGTAAGTGGGTAAGGATTGCTGTAAGTAAGTCTGGAGAGTGGACAGAAGTAGGTCAGACAGATTGGTGCACATGCTGGTGTGTCTCATGCCCCTTCTTTTTCCTTCCTCACCCTCTTTTCCTCTGATAGTTTCAGCATCCAGAGGAGCAGTACCCACCTCTGAAGTTTGGCACAGTGCCCAACGGGAGCACAGAGAAAAACATTCGCTCAAACTATCCAGACATGCACCAGTACATGGGAAAATACAACCAGAGGGGGGTGGAGGACGCCATCCTGAACCTAAAGACAGGGTATGTTTGCCATAGCTAAGCCATCTTCTTTTTTACATAACCCCATTTTTAACTATTTCATTTCAGTTTATGTATTGTGTGCAACTCATAATTTAAGAAATGCAATGACTTTCATTTTTACTTAAAAAATGCAATTTATTGTGATCATAAAGAAGTTTCATCCTGAATGAAAAGAAAATGCTTCACTCTTTTAAGGTTTTTCAAAAATATTTCAATCTAAGCTCAAATGATATAACAAAACAATTCAATACCAAACACAGAAGAAGCTAAATTGAAAGCCTCCCAGCTTCCGTATGAGTTAAAATGTAATGGTGGGGCCAAATGTGGCCGATCTAAAGCATCTAAAGGTAGTCTCATTGTGAACACCCCTGTTAAAGTGGCAGTTTCTGCACTTTACTGGTGCTGCAGGTGGCTATTCCAACAAACTGCAGTTTCCTGCCATAACTCCAGGCCCTAACCTCACTTAAATGCTTAACAGAGCTGTGAAAGAGTAACCAAATGAGACAAGAGATGAATCTACATTCCCCCATATTGATTCAACATAGTGATAGGTTCATGCAGAAAACAACTAGGCCCAATTAGGTTAAAGGTTTTTTGGAAGTCTTTGAATCGTGGATTGTATGGTGTTAAGTGTCTCTTATAAATCATTTCAGTGTATTTTGTAGATTTAATGTTTTAATTACCGTAAAAACCTTCAAAACATCAATTTAATAATGATGATAATAATCTAGCTATTATTTTTATAATTATAATGATCTATTATTATTATTATTATTATATAATTTCAAATTATTATTTAAAATTTATGGATCTCACATTGGGGAAATTTATCCTTGCATTTAACCCATCCCCTAGGGGAGCAGTGGGTTGCCATTGTGTGGTGCCCTGGGAGTAGCATGGGGTTAAGGGCTTTGCTCAGGAACCCAGAGTGGAGGCAGTGGGAATTGAACCCGATACTTAGAACCTTCTCAGATCACAAGCGCACTGCTCTAACCCACTGGGCCAACACTTATTATTATTATTATTATTATTATTATTATTATTATTATTATTATTATTATTATTATTATTATTATTATTATTATTATTATTATTATTATTATTATTATTATTATTATTATTATTATCAGTAGTAGTAGTAGTAATATTATGCCCTAAATAGCATTTTTAAAGAGTGTAACCACTTTTAATTTTTCTTGTGACAAATTACTTTCACAGATTTTATTTGTTTTTGTTTTTTTATGTTTATGCTATTTATATTTCGGTAAATCAGAATTTAAAAAAAATCTCTATAATTTTTAGGTTACAGCCAGTGCATTCAGAATGTTTAACCATCCAGAATCAAACATGAAGCTGTGCTTTTCAGCCAAGTGTCTCCAACACCTCTAACTCTGTGAAGTTCCACATATTTCAATCATCAGCCCAACTTCATATGTTCTGTCAGCCTCTAGCCTTTTCCTAAGTCAGAAAAACCTCATTTTACATCCAAATTTAAGGATTTGTGTGTACAATTATACCGTAATTCCGTATTTACTGAGAGAAAACTTCTTTAATCAAAAACACTATTGGTTCAAACAGCAGAGGTTGGTTGGCAAAGGACAGAGAATTAAAAGCCAACAGCCTAAAAATACCAAACAACAGCACAGCCTTTACAAAATAGATTAATGTATTGTTAATTTATTATCAGGACTACTTACAATTTCACTTTGCGCATCATTCAGAACAAAGTCCTCCAACAGATCAGTTTCGAAGTCTATAATTAGTTACCAGCATCCACAGACATTTTGGCACTCATAGCAAATAAACCACAAATTTAACACTGAGTGAGTTTGTGGAGAAATATCTTAAGACAGGACACATGGGATGTAAGAGAAAAAAATTAGCTGGAAAAAATGTGTATAATAAATTAAACTAAAATCAAACTGTGATAAAAATAGTAAAGTATACTTGGTCTCAAGGTACACAGAGACAAACAAAGGGTAATTTAGCTACACCAATTAGCCTAAAAGTCATGTTTCTGGACTGTGGGAGGAAGCCAGAGAGAACCAAAACATGCACAGGGAGAACATCTGAACATGACATTCTTGCTGCAAGGAAACAGTGCTGCAAACTGCTCACAGTTTATAAGGCAGGTTAGATACCATTGCACAACATTCAAATGAGAGAGCAGCTTCTATGGCACCCAAAGATCAGTGATTCCCAGTAAGAATAATTGTAACTTCTGACAGCTTGTCTGTTTTCAGGGGCTCACAGCACTTAGTTAGATTTTAATAAGTGCCCTACGACACAGAATAATTCATTCATCAATGAATATTTAACTTTACCAGTGTAGTGCAAGTCCGTAGAAACCGAGAATTGAAATTGAAAATACAATAGGCATATAAGCCATTAAAATATTGTCTTGTGATGGAGAAAGCTAGTGTACAGATGCTTAACGTAATGGGATAATTAAGGACAAGGAACATCAGGGGCTTCAGAGGTGGATAAGAAAAACACCACTTTCATTTTCTTTTTTAATTCTCCAAGCTAGATAAAGTCGACAGTCAGTGCTCTTAGATGTGGCTTCCTTTAATCCTTTTGAAGATTTTGTATTTATACGCTTCTGCCCAAAAAAAAAAAATTTAAGCCTGAAGTCCAATTGATCTGTCCAGTCTGTCTATGCACCTTAGCACAACATTCTACCCTGTGTAAAGTTACCTTTACACTCAATCATCGCCTTTCCACTATTTTAACAGTGAAGCGTATATAATTGCATCACCAGATTAACCACAGTGGCATAGATTTTTCCAAATGATGAAAATCACTGTCACCTGATCACCTGCACTTTTAACATATAATGTATATCAGAGATTTGAACCCCTGTTGTTAAAACATTTGAAGAGGAAATTAGACAATCGCTATAACCCACTTAGGCAGCATTAATCCAAAAACATCACTTAATCTCTCCTTTATGCTATGCCAGTGCTTCACTCAACTGTTGGTCATGAAACTGGGGAAGTGTTGGTGGATTTTAATCCTTCACCACTAATTTAAAAGGTTCCATTCCCACGTGCTTATGTGTTACTGTTATTATGAAAAGCAATAATGAAAAAAATTGTGACCTCTTAGTCATCACAGTAGGACACTCAGAGTTAGACAACGCTTACTATAACGTATAGCTGATTATTTCAAAATGTGAAGTCATCAAAAAGATAATGCAAACTTTAAAGAAATCATGGGCATTTATGCTCTGCTAAATCTCATTGCTTTTCCCACGTTTAGATCCACGTAAAAAGTTTATTTACATTTAAAAAAAAAAACAAAGTAAAATAGGAAACATTTACAAAACGTGATGCAGACATCAGCTGCAAAAGAGGCAGGGCAGGGCTTTCACCAACAATATCAGAGTAGCTGAGGTGAGGTCAACTTTTACCTTTCAACATGGTGGAGAAACGATTCTGTATGGTGAATACGGCATCATTAAGTGTTTTCTCCTATTGTGCTTTCATCCTACACAATGCTGTGACATATATATATATATATATATATATATATATATATATATATATATATATATTTTTTTTTTTTTTTTTTTTTTAACACCATTTAAATGTGTCATTGTTGAAATTACTGTTATTGTTTGATTTTATCAGATGCTCGTCTAAAGTCAACCCATGCATTTTATGCATTTCTTCTGTAGCAGAGGAATTAGGAATCCATTACTGTCTTGCCAATGTAGCAGATCAGGATAATCTTTGCATCCAACATGTTTCTCTTCTCTACCACAATAAAAACATTTGAACACAATGCACTGGTAATTTCCACTTTACAAGTGGTAAGGGTCATCTTTACCACATGAAGGCAGCATTATCACCTGTGGTGTGATGTCAGTGTGCAGTGTGCAGTTACAGTTTGTTTATGTATAGCTTGACCCAACACTAATTATAGAACAATTAAAATTGTTCCTAAATTAGCTGTTTAATTCTCTTGTGTTCTCTGAATTTCAAAGTAAAGATGTATCTTGACGAAATTAATCTATTAATCAATGTTTGGATTCATAAAACACACGGCGCTAATAAGCCGAAGGCATAGGTCTAATTCAGGGGTCTGCAACCTTTCATATCCAAAGAGCCGTTTTGCCCAGAGTTCGACCAAGTAAAAGTTGTTTAGAGCCGCAAAATATAACATGACTTTTTCTAGAAAACCTTTTTTTTTTTAAATCTTGTATAGGAAATTAGTTGCTGCCATCTCAAACAATCAACAAATCATGTATTTTTAATGTTAAAACATATCATTTTCAAGCTAATTCATAGAAAAATGTCTCCTAAAACATATTTCTGGTTCTTTTAATCTCATTCTTTTCCATCTTATAAAAAACGCTAAAGCTATTGATACCGGTATATATTATAGTAAATTATTTAGCTCTTTATATACATTTTAGCTACTGTTACGAGCCACTGGAGAGGGTCCAAAGAGCCATATGTGGCTCTGGAGCCGCAGGTTGCAGACCCCTGGTCTAATTACTTATGAATCAGAAGTGGGAGCAAATCATCAAACCAACAATGTTGTCTCGTTACCTAAAAGTTACACACAGGATTATTTAAAGAATTACACAGGCTGCCATGATTTATACTCATAAATCCTTATCACGAGAAAACGGCTTTCGTTATCTTTAAATAATGACAATATTAACTTATTTTCTCGAAAAAAACGGCGTTAAAAAGCATGAAGGGATACGGCCAATCTCTGCTTCCATACTTTATTAATGATTACAACTCAATGCATTTTTACTCTAAAGTTTAAGTAAAAAATCTATCATTTTCAGAATAATGATATGATTTTAAAACATTTGTATTCAGTATGACTGGTTAAACTTTGTTAATTTCATGGTACAGAGAGTTGATGATCACAGCAACCAGATTCAGCAGATATAACATGCTTTTATTTTCCTTTTTTTTTTAATCTTTTATGTTCTCCTATTCACAAGGGCAGACCATTACCCAGAAAGGCATTCTTTTCAACTCCAACTAACATTTCACATCTTTTGTCACACATCATGCTTTGCTGCACAAATTCTCCCACCTTTGTTCTTTCCCTCTCCACCTTCACAGCTATCTTTCCACACATGCAGTGTGAGCAGTGCTTTCCTTCCCCAGTTTTCTCACAAAATCTCCCTCACTCATCATTGTTGGTTAATCCCAATTTACTTGATCCTAAGCCTCTGTTGCGATCCACATCACTTTGACACCACAATTATAACTCAGCATTAACATGCACTGAATATATGAAACTCATGCTTTTCTCCTGGAGCGTTTTCTTCTGCTGCCTAATGCTTAGATTTCCATTTTTTGCTCCTTAGCTGCCCTTTTTTATGTTACAGTTCCTTTCTCCGTCTCTTATTTTGGATCCATTCTTTCCCACCCTAGTGTGCTTTCTCTGTGTGTGTGTATTTAAACTTTATAATCCTCATCACTCTCTGCCTCTATTTCTACACAGAAGTGTGTAAATCTTTCCCCTTTTCGCTGTTTCTCCCTGTCACTACACCCTTCGTTCCGTAAATCCCTTCAGCCCCCTCCACTGTCTTCCTCTTACTCACAGATCCTCACCTGATCTCTCCCTTATTTTATTCTTCTATTGTTTTCACCCTCGCTGCCAAAACTGATTTACTATTCCACCCTTTTCTGCCTCTGCTGTTGTTATTTAACTTTTTATGCCCCCTCCATCATTTCCCCTGTCTTGTCTGCTGTATATTTCTGCACCCAGCTGTCTTTCGAAGTACATTGCAGATATACCTTTATACATTCTCCCCTGCCACTGTCATTTTCTCCACGCTGGTCCTGTCTCTCCTCTATTCAATGAAAAAATGAATTCTGTCTTTAATCTTTTACAGGAAGCTGGATGCTTTTATTTATGATGCTGCAGTGTTAAATTATATGGCCAGGAAGGACGAAGGATGTAAGGTGAGCACTGAGGTAGAGGTACATGCACATTTTTTTTATTTTTTGCTTGACATTAGGTTTTTTTCACAGTATCTGCGTGTTGTCCTTTCTCCAAGGTGATGACCATAGGCTCGGGGAAGGTTTTTGCCACCACAGGCTACGGTATCGCCCTGCACAAAAACTCACGTTGGAAACGTCCTCTTGATCTGGCCCTGCTGCAGCTAGTTGGAGATGGTAAGATCAATAGGAAAATGGGAGGGTCTTTGCAAAAATAATGAGTACTATGACCTGAAAAAGGTTATATGTAACCCAATAAGGATGAGAATACAGTGACAACATAGTGTGTGGGTAGGGGGTAGATAGAGGACACAGGTGGTAGCTGAATGAGAAGATGTCAAGGGGAGAATATGGGGCATGTGTCAACTGAAAGGTATTTTGATTGTGGGAGACAAGGGAAGTTCTGATGGGACTTTTAAAAATGTTTGTGAGTATTCTTATTGGGTAGAAGAGAAAATGATAAATAAAAGAGGGAGGAGAATATCATTGGTTTCGTTTTAAAGGTTTGGCTTTAATATGTTGTGCGTTCACTTTTTTCATCTTTTTGCTATGCAAAAAACTAAAAAAAGGATTTACTTGTGCGAGTCTCAGTTTTAAAAGTCACTTCTTGTGTCAAGATTTGGTGTCGGATTGAGGACCCAAAAGCAGAGGCAAGTAGGCAGAGGTGAATTTAGGTGAGTTTAATGAGGTTCACAGGTACAGAGGCAGGAATAAAAAAATCCAACAAAAAATAACAAACAAACCAGAACCAAGGAGACATCAGGGGAAACCAAACTCTAGGAGCCAGGGAGAGACGAGGTAAGCAGACAGACGTTAGACGAGGATCCAGCACACAGGAACTGAAGAGGGAGGGCTTTTAAAGGGGACAGAGACAAAGAGAGAGCTAACGAGAGGATTGGAAACAGGTGAGGACAGAGCAGAAAACAGAGCTAGGGTTAGAGGACACAAGAGGGCAGCAGAGGACAACAAATGGAAAACCTGGAAGACAGGAACTAACAAGAAAACAACAAAATAATAATTAAACACTAAAACAAGGAGCAAAGTAAAACTGAATACTCTAAATAAACATAACAAAACCAAGACTGTGACATCTTGTTTGTTGACAGATTTATAAAAGTAAAGATTATTTAAGACGGACAAAGGACTGAGGAAAATAGAAATACACGAATATATTCTAATCTCATGCAGGACCGAGGTAGGACAATTGGATGGACGATGGATGGACTGTAGATAGTTAAAAGCTGCAACACTTTGCAAAGGTTTTCATATGTGTTTAGTGTATTTCGGTTTTATATGACCTATACACCTCAAATTAATTATTCCTCTTCCCTTTTTTTCCAGCCTTGATAGTCTATTAGTCGGATTAATGAGGGAACCTTCCTATGAGATCAATAAACTTTGATTTAAATTGTGTCACTGATGCTCTAGCTTTGTGTCCAATGTAGTTTTCATTTTGGAAGGCCAGCCTCCATCGATTTTCCCATCAAAGCACATGGTTTCTGTGATTCCTACGTGGCCTGTAACTAACTCTACAAAAGATTTGCTATGGCTTTCCTACAGCAATGGTTTTGTTGTTCTATAAAGTCCAGATGTGTGACATGCATGACTAATTGCTGTGCTGTCAACAGCTTTTCCCATCTGAGCTGTGGATCTCCTCCAGAGTTACCATAAGCCTCTTGGCTTGCTTTTACAGTTGTCATACTCTTTTATTTTTAGGTAATAGATTCAACGGTGCTCTGTGAAATCTCTGCTGCCTTCCTTGGCCTTCACATTGTTATTTCCTCTCTAACGAACCTCTAAGGCTTTCACAGAAGATGGATTTAAATTAAGATTAAACCATACAGATTTAGATTCATCCTTAGTCCAACACACCTTAATCAAAGGGTGGAATTACCTCATCTGCATGCAGTCAGTTTCTCATTTTCCTTTTCATCATCTAATTACTTGATTCAAGTGTGTTGGATCAAGGACACATGCAAAAGTTGCAGGATGCTGGCCCTCAGGAACTGAACTGCCTCCCAACTGGTTTAAAAGATATTGTGATAAGAATTTGTAGCTGTAATGTGAAAGTAGTGATGCCATTCACGGGGTGGGGTTACTAATGGATACTCTGATGGATTAGAACATCAGAGTATGAAGGGCTGTGAATGTTTCACCAAACCTTGGAGTGAGATTTTGAAATAGTTTGGACAGTCAGCCCTTATCAATGTTAGATTGAAAGCCTGTGTGGATAGGTGCAGCTGTAGGTTGTAGGTTTTCAGAGGATTTAACTGAAACTAAAATGTGGAAATTTTATAGCACAGTGAATTTTAATGAGTAGCAATAAGTAATCTATACTTATGTGGAAACATTTTCAAAGCATTTACATTATTTACTATATTCTGGTGATTTTCAGAGAACTGAAGTAAAGAAGAATGGGCCCTACTTAAATACTTGCATCTTAAATATACTGTAAGCCAAGAATTTCAAAACTGTGTTTATTAAATATTCTATGCTGTACAAGTAAAATAAACAACAGGGAGCAAATAACTTATTACTGGATTACTGACACTAATACAGGAACCACTGAAATTGAATCCCGTGCAAACAACACTGTGTATTAATATTTGGTAATAGGCTAATGATTAAAAATCTTAACTCATTATCTTATTAGATAGTGAAATAATTGTTTGTTTGTTTTTATTTACAAAACAGCTAAAGAATATAATCCTACTAGGAAACTGTAGATTCTATATAAACTTTCCATTTAATTTTGGAAGTAGTGATGGAAATTAAGCTTTTAAACACATTCAATGGACCAAAATAAGGATAAATGAATAAGATAAGTAATGATAAAACGAGAACATCCCTCTATGAATCTTGGATAACTAAGTTGTTCTGCACATCCTCATTGTGTCTTATGTGGTAGGTCTTTTCTTGGGTGGCTGATCTTTTAAAGAATTAAATGCAATGGTTCTTTTTCTTTTATTTTGGACCTCCTATGGGTTTGTGAGGCAAACCTGAAAGCTTTAAGAATTTCGATATTTGTGTTGGTTTAATGAGTCCTAAATTCTAATGGGAGATTATTCAGCTAGAGTGAGTAATAATGATTTAACTTGTGAGCAAAACATGGACTAAAACTGGGACTAAATCAGGTGGCTAAACTATAGCAAACAAGGAGTAAAGCTCACAAAAAAAAGCACTAGATGTAGAGAAAACAAACCATTTTATGTCAATTTGATGTAATCCTACAATCAGCCTCCACATCTATAATTTAAGCTAGCTGTTGTATATTTTATTCAGATTTACTCAAGTGCTAGATTGCTTAAAATCTTCATTCATTTACAAAGACAATTATCTTAGTCCAAATAAGATAAGAGGAAATTCAAATGACATGCCTCGTATAACTGCTCAGAATTCCCGTTATTTTTTTATATCTAGCGCAGGTCTTTCAGCTTTGCTGCTGTCAGCGGATTGAATAGGTGGACTGGTGCAAAAATAAGGACTGTGTAGGAACCTGGTATGTCCTCATGTGTTAGCACTAAGGTTGTGTTGAAAATGCGGACATGATTTTTATCAGCATGATATTTTAATGTATAAATAAGTGGGATGGAGTTAAGTTTTAATGTCCGTCAGTTTTTAGCTGGAAAAATTGGTGAGATGGAGTGTATGCATGTGAAGACACTGAGGTGAGTGAGTCTTGCACCAAATGGATGAGAGTTGACAGCCCTTGAGTATGTTGTTTTTTTAATTGTATCTAAGAGGGGACCATTTGTGTTTGACAGAGGGAATCTGTTTTTAGCAATGGTTGTCAGTACACTAATGCTTGATTATCATATCACACAGTCTGCCACACACATTTATTGTCTCCATTGGATGGATCTTGTTTGGTTTCTCCTCATGCTTTAAATCAGCTTTGCTTATGGCGTGGCAGACAAAGCCCTTTAGCTGTTTCTGGCATGCTGATACTTTAGCTGCTTACCCACTGATAATGCCAATTTGGTGCCAAGATCTATTAAATAAGACTGGCATCTGGAGCTAAATTGCTCGACCCCGAAATGTGTGCTTGTGTTTTTGTGTGCGGGAAGGAAAATTAGAGGGCCCAATCGCCCTGATATACTGTATTTCTGTACCTGTTCTCATTTCTTTCGTTCTGTGTGCCATATCCGTCTGTGAATATGGCTCTAGATTTTAGAGTGGCGTACTAAAGAAAAGAAAGATTGCTTTTCTAGAGATGGAAAGTATAAAGAAATGGGCTTACATTCATCATACCCTCGAAGCTGCATCTTTTTAAAGACATCTGAAGATCTCGCGCGTCGCACCTTTCACTGGGCCAAGCTGTGTCACTGAGTTACATCATTTTTCTTCCCTGCCTTGTGGAATTGTATCATTTTCCTACTGAATTAGATGATATTAGCAGACTTTTAATACCCCTGTGAATCTATCTCTCTCCTTGTTGTTGCCTTTGGTGATTAACACCTCAGCTTTAAATGATGGTGATTGATCTTACTACATCTTTTCTTCTTGTCCTGCTAAAGAGCTGTAGAGTTGTAAGATTTTACCTTCCCTATCTTATCAGATCCAATCTTTTTTTTTTTTTTTTTGCTGTACCATATCTTTACTTTGATTCCATGATTATATTATTCAGAGTGTATATTTTAAAATATGAGAAGCTGGAGTTTCATCTCTTGGCCAGCAGATTTTTTATTTGTATTTTTTATATATCTTGCGATGAATAAAGGGAGGTTTGTTACCGTGAGATAAAAGTACGGCATTGTACCAGTCATGGTTTACTGCTTAGCAACTGTGAGGCTCAGTGTCTTTGGATGTGTGTGACATCCAGCCTCATCTGGCATACCGCAAAATGCAAACAAGCTTGCTGGTGCCTGCACATTTACATATGCAACTGTGCCACAAACACTGTGATACAGTGTCCTTTATTGAACATCGGTAAACGGCTCGCTTTGTATTAGTGTTGCCAGCTCTACCTGAGCTGGTCCGCCAGAAACAAAATAGGTGGAAAAAGAATGTGACACACCTGCCAGATTTGGCAGGCTTTAGTTGGCTGTGACTGAGACGTAGAAACAACTGCCATCTAAAAGGTTGAGGTGCAGGATAAATTGCAGTGCAGTGCAGATCACACTACTTATTGCAGCAAGCATGGGCCACTTACTCAACCCATGGCAACGGCAAAGTTC